TCGTTTGAGTCGTTCGTTAAACCAACTCTTCTTTTTTTCCCATTGAGATCTATATCTATATTTACGTTCTTCACTTGCGTCTCCTCGATCTGAGTTTGCGATCGAATATTTCAAAATTTCAGCAGCCGTTGCCAATAACTACGTGTCATTGCTGGGCAAACCGAAATGGTCTGCTGCCAAACTACCAGACTAATGGGTCGGGGTTACACGAGCGCAAAGTAAGAAATACACAACGAAAATTTCAGATGACAAAAAACAGAGTCACAAAACAACGAGGGTAAAACGAGACGGAGATCGTACACAGGGAAGAGAAAAATTGGCGCTACCTTTTTTGGCACGTAGTGGCCACATACGTAACATCTGCCACATCCGATGGGAGAACAGAACGACGAGGATAACAACAAAATTTATAGCTGACACAAACTTATAGGGTACAAATACGCCGTATCTGCGTCATTGATAACGAACACCACAGAAGACATATGGCTTCATCTGAACGGATCCTGCATATAATCGGCTTCAATTGACAGGCTTATAGATAGATATATGGGCATGTGCGAAAAAGAGCATGTGAAAAATGGAAGAAATGAGCGAACGTCTGTTTTGTAACCGATAGACTTTGTCTGTGTATTGGTACCTTCTAGTCCAACATACCTAGCAAAACAGTCATCATCACTTCATATAATATCATATATTCAAATGCCAGTTCAAACAACCTTTTCGTGCCGGTCACAGTGCTATAATAGAAGCAGTTAGTGACTAGCTCATGTTTATTAAATTACCACGAAAAAATGTAAATTCAAAATGCAATAGTTGCCTACTGAACTTCTGCGGGAACGTAGAACAGTTATAAAGCACATCGAACGTACCCAGCATACTAGCTTGTACGTTCATGCAACTCACTCTTATTTAATAGATGTGGTGTGTATCGGCTAACCTTGGCTTTTTACTAGTTCACGGAAGTATAAACCAACGTTAAGGAAAAGCTATTCGCAGCTCCATTGCGCGTTGGCCACAGAAAACCTAAAAGAAATCTGTATGCCTAAAAAAGTTGGCGCAATGTGTTCACGCATTACGTATTTGCTAGCTAAGCTACAGGTTGAATTACCTCTTGAGGCTTGATGCTTGCATTGTAAACAATAAGCACAGAAGATCTAAATATTCGTTTGGTGTGAGTACTTGACTAGGGCTTTTCGTTGTAGGAATTATGCAAGGCAATAACCCCGCGCTCAGATGTATGGATCATTTTAAGAAAAAATATATTTATTAAATATTAGGTACCGGTTATTAACAGCAAGGGCTTTGCCCCCATGTACAATTCTTTTCTGTCCCCTTCACCCACATTCAAGTGATTCATTCAAGGCATTCAAGTGATTTTAGCTGCCCGACGGAATTCATGGAGCTCTTACTAAGCGTACACAGGAGATGTTCCAACATGCTCTAGTGTTATTTTCAACATACAGGACTGCACTACTCCCTTATGTTCTCATTAAGTACAGTGTAATAGATTGCTCCTTTCGAACTTCGGTGCAAAATAGACGTCTCTGACTTATATTAAAAGCCGAACTGCATTTGTGCAGGTTGTGAAAACGCTAGATCGTAGCCGTGAAAGCTCCGGAGGCAAAACCATCAGGAAAGTGACCGAAAAGATGTCAGAGATATTTGACAACTAGTAGGTATTATATAGATATTTCGTTTTCTAGCGCTAAACGGCGCACCATTTAGTAGAGCTGACTGCCTTGAAAACTGATTACCTAAGGGTTAAAGAGTCCATCGGCGCCCCCCGTGCACAAAAATCAAGCTGCGTTTAGATTTTTCGCTTTTTATTTATATTGGAAGTGTATTACATAACTGGAGAGTCTCATTTTTCTAGGTACGTGCAGTGATTGTTCAGTTTATGTCAGACTGGAGTCTTTATATGATATACACACATTTTCTTAAAAAGTAGTTTATCAGTGTTGAAGTCATAGTTGTTAGACATTATCGAGAGACTGCTCTGCGGGCACACATGTATGGAGAAGTGAACCATGCTACGCGCGTTGACGTCTAATGATGTGGCAAGACCTGCGTTGATTGTGGAATCTATCTGTCAAGCGCTAAATTGCTTAAACCACATTGGCATGATTACAGACTTTCACGTCCCCGCACCGCGTTTATGCCCAGACGTGCATATGTTTAGGGGGATACTGCCGTTGCCTCTGTTTCTAATGCCGGCGGCCCTTCGGTGGCAAATCTAGGCGCTAAATAGTTAGCCATGATTCAGTTCATCAGTCAACAGCAGCAGACGCAAAAGCAGGTGGAAAGCCCATGTTTGTAATACATCACAAATCAACAGTCGTTCGCTCGAGTTAGAAACGACTGATAACTTTGACTGACGACTTTGATTCTGACAAAACAAATAGAATAATCCGCTTTTCAACTCTGACTTGACATTAATACTTGGGCTATCAAGAAAAGTCGAACACTTGCAAAGTTCAAACTGGATTGTTGCATATTAGCAGAAACTAATAATACGTTATCCTCAGTTGAAAAGTTCATAAACCGTAACTAACTGGTAATGAGGAACTTATCTCTATGCTAATGAATTGAAAATGATTTTACAGACAGAGCAATTAGTGTCGGTTTTTTGAAATTTTGAGTTAGTCAATATCCGATTAGAGTAGAAAACATGCATTTTAGTAAATTAGATCTTTTGAGGTGTGAAATACAGAACAATGATCATTGCTTGTTCTCGATGGCACTATTGCCCATGTTATCCTGCCGATTATATGTTAGGAGTTGTTCGGTTACGATTTAGGGTATAGCATCGTATGTCACTAAACCGTTTGCCGTTTTGAAAATCCGGTAGCTTTCGCTACTCATTCAGGAGATCTAATCATGTTGAGATTCCTTTTTTTAAAACATATTTAATTATTCTAGTAATGTTGCGTTCAAATGCACACTGACAGTTTTTTCCAGCTTTCTACAGATTTTAGGGAAGGTAATGAAACGTTCGATAAAATCGATTAGCTTTGTTGCTCTGTGTATACGACCTCGGGCTATTCTGATCTCGAGCCCCTACTAAGACGACTCGTATTACGTTTGTAAAAGGAAAGAGCAATAAAGAAATCGTATTGAATTTTACTTGCTAAAAAGCATTGAATTATACCAGTTATTTTAGTAAGTCATTTGATGAAAATACGATTTATGACCGCTTGATGTTCACTATACAAATGCTAAAGCTAAGGTAAGTAAGCCAACATCCTTTGGCACCCATATCGAGTGTCGCTCCTCTGGGCCTCAATGCCCAATTTGGTGACACATTTCTCTTTGTCGGAAAAAATACGCTCTTAAACGTCACTTGCCTTCGATTTACTGTATCGTACCACGACCTCAATTTCACTAGAGATAAAAATTTTGAAAACTTGGTTACTTTATTATCATTACTCTTACGTCGGGGGCTTATCGGGAATATCTATAGATTATTTTCTTTTTACTCCTCAAAGCATCCGTGTGGACGACATCTAACTGCATGCGTAGGCACCCTATTAAATGTTTATTTATGCCCAACAAGGTATGTGCAGGTTAAATGCTAAGTACACTTGATATACACATTGATTAGGGTAATTCGCAATCAACTGAAGAGAAACGCGAGATGCGTCAGAAGAACGGGTTGTAGGTCGTTCACAACCAATTCGAGAATTCGGTTTGCATAAAAATGTTGTTGCTGTCCATATGATAGCTTAGTGGGTAACTTATTTGCCTGCTAATCTTAGGGACAGGTTGTGGTCAAGGTTCGAATCCGTGCATAGACAGAGTTCGCTTCCTGCTAGGAGCCAGCGGTCTGATGGAATGCCTAACGGCGGTACGGGACGTAGAATTCGAAACGTAGGGGAATATTGTCGCTGGCTTCTGTTCGTGCTCATGCGATTATGACATAAATGTATAAATGGGCGTATAGACGTGTACTATCATCCACTCGTACAACTGGAGAAAACCAGCCGAAATGCTGTCCTTCACTGTGACCTAGACATTCAAGTGCACTTCAATACAAGTTACGGATACCAGAAACGTGGCTAATGAAGTTAGTAAATAGTATTAATAGCCAACGACAACTGATTACGTAGTACAATAATAGCTTGGATGTGCCCATCTGCAGAAAATTTGGAAGTAAAAAGGCAAAAGAACACTTCAAAAGTTCACGTAAGTAGGGAAAAGCAATGAACAGATGAGGGAAAAAGAATGAATAATATTAATTAGCGTTAATAATATTATGATGCATAATGTTCAGATTTAATAAATATTCATTGCTGGAATATTTTCTGGTAGCAGAGTGCATTATTTTTGTCCACGAGGTCTGGTCCTTAACTAGTTCTTTGTGTCATTGTTGTTTGTTATCCTATTTAGTCCCATATTCGTATAAGGAGTTTTTCAAGCTACTTTGGCTTGCTGTCGATCCGTTCTAAGATTTTAAGCAAGATTTTGAGCCGACAAGTTGTTACCGATGTTCGATACGGTACAATCAGTTGCTGACTACAATTGCTGTTGACTACTTAAAACTTTTACTGTAATAATTTGCTTGGTGGCTGTTATGACAGACAGGTACCATAACTATCCTTCACATGGTACATGTTCACAACTGACTGAGGCTACACTCATCCTGATTATCCTGACGGCACAAGTAGGATAGGTTCATTCTAATAGAATGTAAAACTTGAAATATTTAATCCTCGATTGTCCCGACTCAAGTCCGTCGTCAAAGTCATTTATATCTATGAACAATTTTTCGTTCATAAGTTTGCTTGTATGCCCATGGTAAGAACAGAATCCAGATGCAAAATAACACGATCAACCACTTTTACATAACGTTATAAAAAACAACAGAAACTGTCCTGATAAGGTGTGTGCGATTACATTAGCTACGTTCGCCTCACTACATTGGGTGAAAAAGTGGGTTATATAAGTAAAACCCGAAAATTGTTGAATGTACAAGTCAGTTAGCGCAAAAGGAGAAAACTCACCTTTACGAGTGCATCCCTGAGCCTTTTTCAACTCGTCGTTTTGCAGCTCTCCACTACTGACGAACGGGATCAAGCAACCCCGTAATCTGACTGCTCACAAAGCCACCTGCCTGATATCATATATTACTTCCTTCTGTTGTTCCGTTATGGTTTTTTATGTCGTGTTAATTTTCCAGCCGTATGCAAGAACTTATCCGCCTTCTAATCGTACAAATTGATTGCTTGCTCTTGAAAACTCAGATTGAGAGGGCAGTAACAGGCTGAATAGTCGTGTCTATTACGATCGCTTCTGTCTGTTTGCATGCATGTGTATGTGTGTGTAAGACTGTCACGGTAGCTCCGACTCGGTCGATCTGCACACGAAATTATATGATCGCACAAAAACAATACCATTGGCTCACTATGGCAGAAACACTACGACAAGTCGCCGAAGAAACGAACAAACGAACGGACGGTGATGACCTGGCCACAGTACCGTTGCTCGCGCCCACAACCGTAAAGGCAGACAAACAAGTCCATCCCCTCTCGAGCCACTTCGAACAGTTCCGCGAATCGCTCCCGTTCCTTCTTGTTTTAGGCGCGATCGAACGACCTACACCAAACGACAATCCACGGAGAACGATATCGAATAAACGCAACGCTATCGACGGCGCACCGTTCGACGCGCAGAAGATATGTATAAGCACATGATGTATGTATCTGTTATTTTTCGTTCTATTTATACATTCACATCCATTTGTAAATCTCTGAATAATGAACAAACGTATCAAATGGGGACGACCAAAATTTGTGCGTGAGAAGGCAGATCCCTACTTCTCTGTTGACTCTCGTCGAGTACTGGCCGAACCTTTAGCAGCGGACATGAATGTAACTCGTCAACGCGGCTCGCTCCACTGAACAAATAAGACTATCGGACAATAACTGTTGTTGTATGTGACGGCCAAAAAAATCTGGCTGTATCTTCCTCTACGCTAGCGCGGCATGATCGCTCTTGCAGCAGCCGAACACACAACTCACTGGCTTCCCTCTAATACCGTCTCACCATCGCCGCCGCCATCAGTCCCACATGATGATGCTCGTGATGATACTGCTGGCAATGATGAGCACGGCAGCCGCCCGTTTTTCGTCGTCTGCTGCCTAGAGGGCTTTGGGAGCACGCTGGCGCACGACGGTTGCCCAGCTCAGGTAACAATCGTCTCACTCGCCACCCAGTCCCGCCAGCAGCATCCGAGCAAAAGTGCGAATACGGCGAGCGGAGAGGGTACGAGTCGCGCTGGCTGGTTCGATCAAGAGGGGAGGACAATCTGCCGGTGGGAGCGGAGCTAGCGACCCCAGAACACTCTAGCACCATAGCGGCCGAATCGAACACAGGACGGAGCAGGCAGCCGCCTGCGACCTATGGAAGACGGACTTACGGAGCTTTGGCCGAGCCACGAACGTCGGCGGCGGCAGCGGCGGCCGCCGCCGGCGGCATAACACAACAAAAACAGCGGGCAATAGCAGCCCGGGAGACCGATACGCAGACACTTACATACAGACGCACACAGGGCAAAGAAAAAAGGAACAAGGGAATTCACCGAGAGATACCCTCACCCGTCGAAAAAGAAAGCAAAGAAGAAGACGACGGGGCAACGGCGGTCTCTGCGCAGCAAACGGGTCTGCGAGATCGCCCGCGCCAAATACGAATTTCATTCGCGTTCGTTAGCGCGTTTTGAAGAAAACATTTAAAATACCTTTTCGTGTTTATTCAATCGGAAAGCCGAAAATACAGGGACCTCGTCATAAAGTAGCGATATTTAGTTTACTATGAAAGCAAGTGCATACTCAGATATATGCTTAAGAATATATCTATCACATATTTGAAAATAATGAATATTTATCAATAGAGATTATCTAACACAGATCAATTAATAATAAGCTAGATCGTAATATCTGACAGATATACAACGCATAAACGTATCTTCAGGTTTCGCTAACCGTTCCATAGATATATCATAATCCCTCCATTTTCTATCTAAGTATTCGGCTACAGCTACAATCTCTATGTCCTAACAGCTAGGGACTAGAGCATGTCAGCTGCCTAACCGACTGTACACTGGAATACTGCAAGTACACACTAACCCCTCAATGTTGGCTTTTTCATATGGCATTTTATTTATTTTTTTGAAACAGGCCTAGTTCCCCAAACGGACACCACGCGCCGTAAATCTAATCATAATAGTAGGACTAAATTTCGCTAATCCGCTAGCGAAATCAGAGGGTATAGCGATTTACGTGCAGAAATTCTATTGAATACCAGTATTATATATATAGTGTTAGTGTTTCCGTCAGCGGTCTATGGGGTCATTCGTATTGGACTCTACAGCTTTAATTCATTAGCACGCTGAAAATGGGCATTTACTTGTACCATATCTAGCATGAAGAGCGTCGGGTTCATGATTTATGACGCACATAATTAATTTTGATGACACTGCACACGAATCCAGAGCCTTTTGCCAATTCGAATATTGTGATGTCCCTTTGAATTTCGTCGCGCATTTCGGTGGTATGTACTGTTTTGCTCTACGTTGTGGTCGTTCCAGAGTGCATTTCTGTTATAAGGCTTGCTCACAACCGCGAATTCAAATATGTACTGTTTTGTCTCCTATGTTATACTAGTTTCGTACTAGTTGTAATTGAAAAATGTTTTTTAAATTATGCGATCTCCTCAAAGCTGTAAGGCAGCATTGGGTATGTGATTATGACAAGGCACTCCTTAAAAATGTTTCCTTTAGCATACCCTTTCCTAAATTAAGCTAAACAAGGCTATAGGAAGCCTACTGAGCCACAACAACAATAATAGATGGCCACATTTATTGTATGCACAAGAGCTACGTCGTCATTTTTCTCGTATAAAGCATTGCGCTTTACGAGATCGTGTAGTCTGCACGAACGATTGGGACATCGATGACTCAACTGATCATATTCGATATTTACCGATAAATTTAAAGTTAGGGGCACTATTTTTCGCAGTTGTCGACGAAACGAAATGATCAGCTCAAAAGGAGCAGAAAATAACTTCTAGTGCATATTCGATATACAACGGCAGGCCATTATTCAGGTTTAGAAGGTATTGAGAAGCCCTCATCCTATTAGGATAAAGGTTTATTTTTTAGGAAACAAGGTACATCTACTGAGTCATATCTAGGTTATAAAATTATTTTGAACATCGCTAATCGAAAAATGATTAATTTTTATCAAGGTTAGGATCGTACATTCAACATACGCCTTAAATTCTTGCCTGGCAATGCCCCAATATAGAATAATATATACTGTTTTCTACTCCCTTCTTGCACAAACCTGTTAGCAGAGCACATCGATTACGTGGTAGCCTATAACATTTTCATTATTTCGAATCTTTTTCACATTAAGATTCCTTTTTTCATTTCTCCTTTAAACATTAGTTAGTACTTTATATGTGTGCGGGTGCTTCGTGGGCTGCGCAGCAGCATGCTTAGTTATAAGGCTCTAACTGAGAGCTAAATAAATAGAAGATTCAGTGGGAAAGACATACCACGAAATACATTGTATTTAAATGTCAGTATTCCGAAATCGTAAACAGTGTTAGCTTAGCTGGCAAATGAATAATAAGAAAAGCCAACTTTCAAGACGCAAACAATGAATGGTTATATAGTAGTTATAATGGTGTCTATGGTAGAACTGGCAACACCGTAGCTCGACTGCACCCTGAATTTCAAAATAATAACGTGTACGTATGTACTGAAGTACTGGCATGTACCTACGTAAAGTACCTACGGCATATACAATTGGCGGTCGCATATAAAGTAGCGGATTACTAATTAACTAGTGGTTGGAGGCAGGCTTGCATTATTATAACTGAGAGTATTAAATATAAGCATATATCTCTACGTTCCAGTTTGTAATGTAAAATTTCTAATGTAATTAGCTTAAACGCATAAATACGGGTTAAGCTTACTATAATCAACTGATTTGTTTATTTTTGCATCTTGCAATAGGGATGTCCGGGTGAGCAATAAGTAGCAATAATCTGGTTTTCGAAGACGCACTTCTTGAGTTTGACTGCTAGACCAGCGAAGATGACCATTACGCTGAAGTACTGCATCCAACCAAGCTTCAGAATATGTGATAGTCCCGGTCGATAGGTAAAAGATTGTTCCGCCGTATTTAACGTTAAAGAGAGAGTGAATCTATCAGGAGCTGCAGCGGACTTTGTTTTAGGGCGCCACACCTTTGTTGTGCCCTCCAGCGTACACTTGACTGAAAATCGGAGTAAAATAGGAACTTGAGACTGCTGTGTCAAACACACACTTAGATATGCTCAAATGATTACTTGCGGTTTGAAGTTAAGGAGGATCATACCCTTGAACCCCGCGACGTGCCAAAGGTCGTTCGAATGAATGAAATGCACGCTTGTAACTTACGAACTTTTTGCTCACCCGATTTAGAACAAATAGTTTTTGTACGGAAGCGAAATCCTACAATCTTGTCCGGAGCTACCCATAATCGGTCCTTTGCAAAGGGAATGATTTACATGTGAATGATAATCTATTCGACTGAGTTACGCAAAGATTTCTTCATTTTTCAATGTTTATTTGTATCTCTCTAACATTTAAGATACGGCAACATGTGCGACTATAAGGCAAACCTGATTGGGATTTAAGATTCGAAAACAAGCGAACTTAAAATTCGTTGCTTGCGTACCTTGTAGCCCTTTTTGTATTTAAGTGATATTTTAGTGGATAATCTACTCCGTGAGGTATCGAAGATATTTTGAAGGTGAAAGAATACCTTTTGATTTTGAGTGTTCCTCCAAAATATGCTCAAGTGGCTCTGTAAAATCGGAAGACGTTCTGAGATCGCTGTAAGACTTGAATGGAATGACAAACGACGATGTGACACGGAGGTCGCCTGTGACGCTGAGAGATGATCCAACTAGGGAGCTTGAATATTCAATATATGCAAGGCAGTTCGACAATACCCCGGCCATTGTCTGCATCAAATCCAGCGCGACAGAAAAAAATAACCCGATAAGTTATTGCACTGGAAAAAACTGAATCCGGAAAAATTCCTTTTGTTCGATGTTAGCGTATTTGAATTAGTTTTATCAGTCTTATTCAGAGAGGTCAAAAACAGTAGAAAATATTACATAATTTTCACTAGTAAGAAGAATAGCTGTTTAGAACGAGCACCTGAAGCCTAGCTTCTAGTTTGAGTAGAAGTCTTATTCCAGTAATGTTGCCTGCGTCAACAACGAATCGAATATCGTGCCGCTCTGGCCGAAGGTCTAAATTTGTGTCAGTTGGCGAATGCGCGAGACGCATAATGGGCAAGTTGGAGCTTAATCGTCCTGTAGAATAGTATAGAGTTATGTTACAACAAAAACGTCATCATGAAACAGTTGAAGAACTCTAAAATCAATAAAAACTGTCAATATTGAGTTTAGCCAGCCGGGGCCTTACAACAATCTACGTTCCACGAGACAAAATATTTCTGAAAAAGTTCTGTTAAGGACAAGTACCTCTGAAATCTCGTTGTAATAACCAATGATTGAGTGCGAGTAGGTTCTTTGTCTTTTTTAGCGTTACATTAAGCTCATAATTCCTTTCCTTCAGAAGATTCCGCCTATGCCCTCGACTATTGACCTATATACATGTTATGCTATTTGATACTCAGATTTTTTTGTCAGAGAAATTTCGTAAGGAACTAAGCAACTGACAATCTAGCTAGAGAAGCTAAGGGTTATATCATAAATAGAATGGAGAAAGTGCAGTATTTTCCATAACCGGCGTTCTGAATTACCACTATCTTATGGACGGTTGTCCTACCTCGAGGTCCTTGAATATATGGTAAAAATCGCATAGAAAAGAAGCTGATTTGATTTTACAATACTCGAAGTTGATTGCACTGCAGTATATACAGCCCCAAGTAGCGACTGTTGAGAGATGGCCTAATATTCTAGGGATCAAACACAGACAAACTTAAACGTTTTCGATAAATGCACTGAAAATGCTCTCTACGTTTTTTGCTGATGTAGATTTCCACCAGCAATTTTCGTAGTCTTGTCGCCTGTAGACGCCACAGTCTCTTTCCGTGAAACGAGCGAACTGTTCTTCAGTCATGAATTCTTATTTTCATTTCGCCGAAAATATAAGCCATTATATTGCAAACGTTGTTGTTGGGACTTTTATCTGTGCTTTAAAACAACTCAAATTCGAATAAGTATGGCTTTATTATAGATTTACACAAACAAACAGCCATATCGTCGCTTAAAACCTGCTACGAGGACGCGAGCCAAAGTAAAGAATAAAGTCGGCATGGACTTACTTATGGAACCAATATGTGCTTAACTCGAACAGCAGTTTATACATTGTTTTGTAACTGCGATCTAATTCGCTTGAAAAACTGACAAGTAGAACTTCTACGCAAACAAACACGATTTTTAAGATTAGTAAAATATAGTTTAAACCCTTTCTAACCTTGTTGTGGACGCGAGGCTGCGATGACATCGCCATCACGAGTGTCCAGTAAAAGGATGAAATCTTTCTTGAAATCGATTTTGGGTTGTTCGGAGAAGACGTCTACACGACGCCATAAACCTATCAATTGCGATAGAAGGTTACAAAATTGATTCAATTACCGGGATTAGCTTGATCCATTTCTCGGTCCCGTGTCGTTTGATACACCGTAACGCGCGATATTTCTACGTTTCGAAATTTCTACTTAAAGCTCAATTTCGGCTGATCATTATTTATTTAAAATATAATGATATTCATTTTTCTTATGTTTAGGCAAGAGTATATCATCGGCAATTAATATACATACATATATACATGTTTTTCTATTCTGCCGCCTTGTATGGTGTTATATATAATGTATTACGTCATACACTCATTACACTATACAAAGTTATTAAAATGCATCTACTATTTACTCAATAGTGAATGCGATTATATAAGGAAGTAATACATTTTTATAAGAAGCAGTTATAGGTTATATTACCAAGTCTTCTAGCGTAACGGGTCACCTGGGCGCCACAAAGGAATAGATATTTCTAGCGTGTTTTACGGCCCTTACTGCAATACCTATATGGTTCTAGTTCACTAATCAGCTTGATTCGATCTATGGCTAGCTATCAGCTTTCAGGTCACTCAAGACTTAAGAATTCTGTCGGCAAGGAAGAAAAACAGGACTCTTTTATCGCGCAAAACTCCATGGCCCATCACTGAACGGACGTCTAAATGACCCAGAATCTACGTTCGAGGACATCCAAGCGTTGGAGCATCCCTTTACGCTGTCACCATTATTATACTAGTTCGTAAGCCAATATGTTAGACTTTTTCTGATAAAATTAATCAACGCTGCTCAGTTTTTTCAAATTAAATGAATTGTCTGGACAAGTACCGTGCCATCTAGACGCCAATTCGCAATCCAATATACCCACAGGGATTAGAGAAAACTGGATTTTCTAACCATCTTGACGGAACAACGCATATGATACTTTCAACATTGTTTTATCAGCGATTATATATATATATATATAGCATACGTGGATTATACCATGAGTGTGGTAGACGATGAGTGCAGGTAGAATAAGTACGGCTGCATAAAGACCGGCGAGAAATACAGTTGCTTGAGAACATGTCGTACTTTTATAGAGAAAGACGTTGGCTGCACGTGAATATACTGTAACCATTCTTATACGAATGTTTCTATTTACCGTTTACGGGGTTGACCTATAACCTATACTTGATAAAACACTTGTACAGTGACTTGGGTCCGTTGGGATGCTTCGACTACGAAGATAGCTATTGCGCAAACACGTTAAAGCTTTCTATAAAGAACGCAACTATTCAGTTTCTAGGTTCGCTACAACGAATTGTACCTTAATCACACAGCACCTACTCTTCCTCAGATATGAACCTTGGCTTTCTCTGAGTGTCTCGCAAAGCCCTTTCTCTCTATAAGTATTACCATACAGTAAGCAACACACTCACTGTTTGGGCGTGCGTTACTTGGCAACAGTATACAAGACTGTGTCACTACATATCCTATGCAGTTGTATATTCTCAGAATTAAAAATTCCTAGTGTACTTAATCATTATGTTAATAGCAACATAAAATAAAAGCTTGAAATGATTTTATATAAAACATATTTATATATATATACATATATATATGTGTTAAAAAAATAAGCTATATTGATAAGCAATTAGGAGCCTCGAAAATTACGAAAAATCACGACGGGAGAGTATGACGGAACGCTACATTCCTATAATGAACATCTACTTTTATTTACTTATACAATGCAATAATTAATATAATAGACATAACGATTTCCTTAGTTGAGTTTTTAGGTAATTTTGAAACAAAAATATGCAAGTGTAAGAAATACAATTGCTTAAAAATTGTGGGGTTCAGCGCTTGCCTACCTTGCAGCACTTTCATACCGAGCGAAGTTCGTACACACCGACATCTAGCAAAAGCTGTTTTTATTTTATGGACAACACAAACAGGAAGACAAAAATGACATGTGCAAATACCATAAAGATAAGGATTGAAAAATTTTATAACTTTTATGTAGCCCATTGTTTCCTACGTCCTAGTGATCTTATGGTTGATAGTCCTATAATTTTCTACGGAGTAGCAATCATATTAAGTGAACTGCCTTACAGATTATCCCATGGATTAAAAATGTCTATCTATCTATAAATTGAACTTGCTTTCTAGTTAAGGAATCTTAATTGTAATAATTTGGTAAACGCATTCAACTTTAAAAAAATTTAAAGGTACGATTTACGAATATACCGTGATGATATATGTATTCTTGGTTTGCGGGGCCAACTTTGTCCTAATCTAAGGTTAACAGTGCGCACGGAATATTCTGAATGAAGACTTTTATATGCACTGTTACATATGCGTTTCTATTTTTTCGTTAAATGTAAAAAGGACGTAAAAAAATGGTTAAAAATTTTCAAGGTGTATAGTACGCCTTAATGAAACGTTTGCTTAACCAGCTTGAAATGCATTTAAAATCATATGTGCTTTATACCACTATATAGAATATCTACTATCAAAATACTTATTATTGAAAGACTACAATGAAGTAGCGAATTATTTTTCTATCAGATCCTTTCAAAAGTCGTTTCAGGTATCGATGTTGGGATTAATAACGTTCAAGATCGGTAACTGAACGCCTTGATATTTATTAACTTCAATTTATTATTTATTAAATTTATTATATTTTGCTTGAAAAAATTAGCAGAACCAATACGGGATGACGTGTGCCAATACAAAGTGACAGAAGGTTCAGTATTACAAACAAGATTCACATCATAGAAGGAAAAATGCAGTTAATCCAAAATGGCTGCACCCATGAGTGACAGTCAAACGATCATGAGCGCAGTGGTATGGTCTTTCCAATGTTAATCAGTGGAATCACCGAGAAGGCGTTTCTATAAGCCCGGCCACAGAGACGACCATTTTCCGTTATTTACATGAATTATAGAGTCAGTTGTTTATTACCTACAACGAGAAGTGTTTCTGGGTATCAATGTGTGTGTAACAAATTTTGCTCAATAATGTACTCTTGGAGATTATAAATAAACAGCCTCCGAGATATTCTTGTTGTTACCAGCATACCTGGTGGTTAATTGTTTCGTGCTTACCAAAGCGCCGCCAGTTATTGATCTAGAAGATATCTAAGCTTCAGAGCAATAAGATGCCTGAAGATGGACTATCTGCGTCAGTTCGTTCAGACTGGAAACCACTGGGTACCGACGTTAATTTTCGCAAATTCGAGATTTATGAAATGCAATGGCACACACAAGTGCATCTTCAGGGTATGTAGTAGCTGTACTATAAAATAAAAAAAAGACTCTGTATGTGATACAGTTTTGCATTATATCACAGGGAACACTATAGTTAGACAAAAAAACACTGTTAGGGTTAATTTCCGCTTCCAATACGATGTTTCGATATCTTGTCATCGATGTCATTTATTCCTAATTTTTTTTTTAATAACAATTATTTCAATATACAGTGTAATGTTATTATTACTAAACTTAGGACACAAAATGTTGTTTTGGTTCAAAATAAGGCGTAGACACGATCCAGTTAGTGTTGGGGGCTAGTCATCGGAATTTGTTAAATTATAATTTTATTGATCATACCGCGATTAGTATATCTATATCTAGAAGTGCAGCATTTACATTATGCTTAAGTCGGGCTAGCGCAATTCTCATTACTTGATTTATTCTGGTGCTTATTTTCTGCTTTTTCTGCAGATTTCATAGTTGCCGCTGCCCCATTTGGTGGGGCCATTGCACTATTGCGAACAGACCGGAGATGTCGACCTGGTGGCGAACAAATTCAGGTGCACTCCGCTGCTGGTCAGTCAATCAAAAAAATCAGGTTGGCAGAAGGCTTCGAGGATACACATTGTCTTATGCTTTTCTATGTACTTTAAATAATTCTGGATATATTTCTGCAATTCTGAATTGCCTAATCACCGGAGCCAATATTCGCCCAATATTATATAGGCCCAATTATCTGGTGCTAACATTTCGTTCATTATTAGCGATATTTACGTGTTGTTTGTCTTAGATGGGAAGGTAAAAGCATTTCTGCGCTTGGTTGGTCCTGCAGCGAGGAGTTGATCGTTGTAGGATCCGATGGGTCAGTGCACGTCTTCCCGTTTGATCCGCATGTTATACGCGTAAAGTACTCGTTCACACTAGGCAAAGAAGCTAAAGACGCCGGCGTCATCGATACAAGGGTTAGCACCAAATGTAATTTTCGTTGCAAATAACATTATGTGAATTCTTTTTGTAGCTACAAGTTACATATATATATATATATATAATATATATATATATATATATGGATAATTCTCTCGCTCTACGGATAATTATGCTAACGTAAAAACGTGTCTTCATGCTGATTAATAAACCTATTTTGATCCTTACCTGTCTATATTAGGTGTTCAACACTCGACATAATCAGAGCACGGGAGTAGTGGTACTGACTGGGTCCTACAGATTTATTCTCGTCAAATCCCTGCATGATCCTCGGACGAACGAATTACCAGATATCGGTCTGTCATCAATGCCATCTTGTTGGCAGGTAGTTATCTGTCGTATGCAAGATGACAATTAGGGATACACTAGTTTGACTAGAAGTAAAACCCCAACGAATATAAGCTGACTGTTTGCTCGGTTCTATAACACATCTCAAGGGTAGAGCATTTCAAATAATGATACTATTGCACTTTCAAGAATTATTATTAAGAACAACCGTACCCGAAATGAACGATTATCATTTAGGGTTTTCTAGATAGGGCTAGATAGATAAGAAACATAAAATAGAGGGTTTTTTTTTTGCTAATCGATATTATTTTCATGACGACATTAAATTTGTATTCCTCTGTGTGTCGATATAGGTCGTGTCTATAGCTGACTCGTTAAAGGTTCTCGTTGCCAAAGACAACCTTATCTATGTCATAAATGCCAATGATAGGTCTATCAGACAATTTACGGTGAGTTCACCTATAAATATAAATAATACAATTATTATTATTAGGTGGAATATGCCGCCTCTGTATATGCTTACTAAAGGAAATTATTTTTCTATAATTGTAGGTGAAATTTATCTTTGTTGGCTCCACATCACTTTAGACTTTTGCACAGAACAGCGGAGTAATGGTTAAGTTTTAAAGCTGTATATGTATGTATATATATATATACGCTTGCAATGTGTGTTTACAGGGTTTATTCGATTCTAAGATAACGGCTATTACCGAAATGGCTTTGTCTTTCAACCATAAGCTGCTTGCGTTATTCTCTGACACGGGCGCTATTTGGATAGGCACTTCCGATCTGATTAAGGGTAATGAACATAACACAAAGTAAGTGCACGGCTTTTTATCAAGAGGCAGTCAATGTACTACGTAAATAACCTTTTTCCCTAACATTGTCAACTGATGGAGACGGCCGTTGTAGTGCGTCAACTTGTCAGTAATTGAATTTCCTTTGGAAAATCTAATCCGAGCCCTCAGGCTGGTGTGTCGAAGTCGAGTCGGTTGCCGCAGTACAATCTTCTTTTAAATTTACTTATTAATTTCGTTACTGCCATGATCATTCTTCATAATAATAGTCTCATTATTGGTATCCATCTTAGGACTCGGTCCCGTCCTCGCCAGTTTGTATGGTGCGGCAAAGACGGTGTGGTGGCAACGTGGGCGAATTCGATGGTGCTAGTCGGCTTCGAGCAGCAGGATATCCGTTATACGCTAGAAGGTGATGATACAACTCACATTGTCGCGGAACCCGATGGATGTCGAGTCATCACCAACATAAAGCACTACTTCTTGCAGAAGGTGCCTATTGACCATGAGTATTTATAGATCCGTGTGGCCTCACGCAAAGAGAAATTCTTAAACTGAAAAAATAGAAGAAGAAAAATAGAGTCCTCACAATGAGTAACTAAATTCCCTATTTTATGTATGTTTATATTATTATTATAAGTAAACCGCTTTTTTATATAAACAATGTATTAGGTAAGTAAAATGCCGATAAAGTCAAGCATAAATCACCAGGAGCCAGGAAGGGAAGGCCTTAGACTACAGAATAGCTGAATTAAACAGCCGAAACATAAAAGAGTGGGTTAGCCAAACATAACATGAGTTTTCTTAACGACGACCGTTCAATCACGGTTGAGAGAGATATTGTAGGTCAGGTATAAATATGCAGATATCGAGCATGAACTACGGGACGCCAGCCCAATTACATACCACGGGGTCAAACTTGATGAGGACATCCTTAAAGCAATGATAGGTCTCTGAAGGCAGAGCATACTAGAGGCACAAGGCTACATCTATTCACACGGTGTAGTGGACCTTCTAAGGAAAGCCTGCAAAGCAATTCGCTTAGCTGACACAGAGCACGCAGCAGGCGTTATGCGAAACGCTGAAATATGGCAAACATCGTAACTTGCAGAAAACTATGCATTTACGGTAAGAGAAGAGGCACGGGAGCTGTAGAGGTACGCTCGCCGCTCCAAGCATAGAGAAAGAAATTTAGAAAGAAGGTAAAGAAAGGGAGGAAGGGAAAATGGAAGCAACTGCGTTAAGGTGTCAAGAACAATTATAAGCAAGCTGAAGAAGCCACGACTAGCTTTTACAGGAACTGGTGAGGTAAGCTGTAAACAGGTTGTTTTTAAGCTAGTTGGGCCTTGCTCGCCCGGTCGACAAAACAGAGGATAAAAAAAATTCCTCTAAGAAGAAATCAGGGTGGTAATTAAAAGACCTAGTTAAGGTAAGGCATCCTGACCATTCGACACACCAGCAGAGGCAAATGTCTTTTTAGAGGAGAAAGAAGTTTTCAGACGTATAGTAAGGTCTGGCAGGAGCGAAAATACCTTTCAAAGCGGAAGAACCTTATTTTACCAGAAGAAGTTACCTTGTTTTTCAGCGCGCAACTTGTGAAACCCGTACAGATTCGCCGTCAATTTATTATACACCATTGAGAAATTTTTTGAGAGGATCATACAAGGGAGGCTGACGACGGAACTTGAAGAGTGCTTCCAGATGCTCAGTACGTGATTCGTACGGGCCGATCCAGCAAAAACCTTTTAGATAGTTTTATGCGAAAGAAAGGATGGCCGTCTGGAACTCCAACAGACTTACCGCGAAAGAGGAAACTCTTACTAACCTCGACGGGTGAAACTCGACAACAGATAACAAGTGCAAGAGAGCGCGCCTCCGCTCTTTCAAAGTAACGATGTGCGAACATTTCTAGTGATACATAGCTAAAGTTTAGCTTTACAGCATGTCCTACACGTCCGGGTAAATACCTACATGTGAGGTCTGGTGTTAGTGTATGAGGTTTTTTATAATAAGTATGCTAGTATTATCAAATGCTTTTTTTACCTATTGCCGAGATAATTTCTTTTGTAATAATTACAACGATAGCAATGAAGTATACTAACTATACATTGTACTTTAATTTAATGAAAAATAATTATTCTTAAGTATCCTTTTTAGGTTTCCGTTTGTGATGAGCCACTAAGCATCTCTTGGGTTATTGATACACATAAACGTTGTTTTCAGGTACCGATCGAAGTTGATGATTTGTTTAACATAGGCTCATTTGCACCCGGTCGACTGTTACTCGAAGCGGCCGACCTATATCGGAAAGGATCTCATTTGGCTGACCAATATCTCACGTTAATCAAAGAAGATGACGGTCAGCTTGAACAAGCCGTCGATCAATGTATTCGTGCAACGGGTCATCAATGGGATGAGGTGGGAAATTTATTTAGGCCTATATATAAGAATGAAATATTTTACCCAGTACATAGTAGTATATTTTATATGGTTTGTAATGTTTGGAATGGTTTGCAGGAAAGTCAAAAGGCTCTTTTGAAAGCAGCTTCCTTTGGGAAAGTCTTCCAGCCTATTGAAGGCAAAAATCGTGATCAATACGTAAATATGTGCAAACATGTACGTGTTCTCAATGCTATTCGCAGCCCTCAGATCGGAATGCCACTTTCATTCAGGTTCGTTAATGACAAATCTTAAATTGATTCTCTCCGAGGAGTATATTATAGACTATTATATAAAATGAATAAAAAAAAAATCAAATTTTATTTCGTCATGTAAGTGTAAAAGAAGATATTAAATACAATATCTGAGAAGTTTGTTATTTCAGAATATTCACTATGGATATTATTACATTTGTTGTGTTTAGAGCTTGTAAATCGGTATGCGACTGTAGATAAATTTCAATTCGAAGCTGTTAAAATATTGATTGCGGTTTATATCCAGACAATTTGAGGCGCTTGGTGAAAGTGTGGTCATCGATCGTTTGATCGTGCGTCAGCATTGGCCAATGGCGCAGGCGATTTCCTCTTATCTTAAACTCAACATGGAAAACAAGATATTGGTACACTGGGCCTGCTATAAGGTGGAACAGAAGCACCTCAATACCAACGAAGTTGCTACGGTATGTTTTCCTCTTGAGTACATTTCAATTAAGAAAATGGGGGATGACAGTCATGACTTACGGCGTGTATTGTATCTGTCAAACCGATTATACGGACGAGATGTAGAACGCGTTTTTACATACAGTACTTGAATCTGCATCTATAATTTTTCTGGCTAAGGGCTGAATAAAAAAGCCTAAACGGTGTTTACTAAGTTTAAAGCGTTTCTGCATCATTCTTCTTAGCGGCCATTAATGTAATACCGAAAATACGATTCCGACAACCTGCTAAGTAAAGGAAGTGTGGCTAAGAGTTAGCTGAAAAACTTTCAAAACACTTCAGGATGACATATTTTACCTTAGCTTTATTTATAAACGAATCTTAATTGCTTTGCATTATTTCAGTTTTCTCGAACACGGGATTTTTGCGCTCGTGACTGTACTGTAAAAATCAGCATTATTGTGATATGTATATAGTAGGCCACTGCTTTGATATTATTTGCTCTTTGAATGTCGACATTCGACTTTGTCTCGCTTGTTAAATTATTGGAATCTGTCTATTCGAATTGGTGTTTGGGCGGCGATAGGCAATCGGTACCCGTCTTTCAACCGTGAGAGCTATGCAGTACTCGGAGATAGCAAATCGTGCCGCTGACGAAGGGCGTAAGGACCTGGCAGTTCGTCTTCTAGATTTTGAACCACGAGCAGCTGAACAGGTCCCGTTACTCCTCAAGCTTAATCAACCAGAAGACGCACTGTCTAAGGCAGTGGACAGCGGTGATGCTGATCTAGTCTACCAAGCTATTTTTTATATGAAGGTACGCAAACCTGCTGATCGGTGCCCGTCTTAGTCAGTTATATCTTTTAATTTTTAAGCCAGTTACGTTTGTTATACATTCATATTTTCATTTAAACTCAGAATGTGAAAAGAAAAAAAATATGCAAAAAGAAAAAAAATGATTTTATAACAATTTTAAAATATTACGAAATATGCTTAAGACAAATGACATTTCTCATTACGCTCAAAATCGCCAGTGGCCTTGCTTTTTATTCTGCTAAGCAAACAGCATATACGCATTTGTGTTTCGTATAATTTGTGCGATAATAAGCAATCTGAATATCCGGTGATACGAATTTGTAATTCTCGACATTCATGCAGAGCAGATTCAGTCCGAGTAGAAAATTCAATTCAAAACTGCGCCTTTGGTTAGTTTATGTGGTTATAATTTAAAATTCGTTTTGCAATCTTATAAATCATGAATTGCCAGGAACACGCGTCTGCTGGGTTTAATCTGAAGTTACGCCAATTTCCCGTCGCAATGAACTTGTATCAAAAGTTATGTCGCGAGAACGACCGCGAAAAGTTAGAGGATCTTATCGATCAGGAAGATGATCATGCTGCTATGGCTAAAATCAAGGTCAGTTGAGAATGACGTTAGCTATGTACTATTGATTTTAATTAAAGCTCCCAAGTCAGATTGGCTGTATTACTATTGAAAGTGTTATCGGGTGACATATGAAGAATAAATATCTGGAGAACTTAAGCCAGAATCCATTGACCCCTTAAAACTATTTAGGAATAACGATATCATGAAGATCATAGCTTTGTGGTCACACTACATCTGTATACTTTAAGTGGAGTTTAGAATCATAAAACAACAGAGAACGTTTATTGGATGTGTTTCTTTTGTGTTAACTGAACTACTTTTAGATTGAAGATGCAATGAATGCGTCTCGCAAGGAACAAAAAATTGCAGCCATGCAATTGGCTGCAGAACACCTTCGTCGCACGCCGGATGAGTTTGGTGCACACCAATTAGAGCTGCACATAAAGCTACTCCGTAGCCAAATGAAATTTGAACAAAAATTGCCATCGTTGAAGCTCTTCGATCTTCATGTCAATGATACACTCATGGAGCTACTCAAGGTTAGATCTAGTTGCACTAAATAGTGCATAAAAAACGCAGTTATATTGCTAGAGAGAATGTTTAATTTCAATTCAGCTAAATGTATTTATCCTTGCAACGTAAATCACAAAAATTATAATTCAATAGAGTTTCGCATAAAACGACGCTTACACCTACCCCCTGCATTTTCCTCCTCAACTTGAGAGGACAAACACGTGAACGGAAAAATTGCAGTTGATCATCTATCAAACCGTCTCCAGCAAGCAATGTAAAAGTTTTCGCGAAGGGGTCCATATCTTACATTAATGTAAGAAACTGGATAGTGAACAACTTGTGAGATTTAATACTTTACATCGAGGCTAATGCTCCGCAATGTAAGCTTACCACCCGCGGGTTTCAGCGAAGGCGCTTTTCTGGGTGACTTACGCAGTAATGCCTCGCCGTTCACTTTGGCGGTGAATCAATATATGGGTTATAGAGGTTGGGAGCTAGCCGCGGGTTAAAAAGGATCTAACGGCCCTTAGTTTAAAAAGCATTTATTTAATTTATAGAGTGTATAGTGTCTAGACTCGGAATTTTGATTCGATCCAAGCAAAAACGGGTACATTAACGAATTTTGTGCGTGTGTTAGAAGAGCAATTTTAATAGTCATGAATGTTCAACATAACCGCTATCCACCGCAATTATAGCTTCGATTTTGGATCTGCACCACCAAACTCATTTTCGAAATATTTCCTTCTTTGGTCTGCAAATAACCTTTTAAGAGTAATCATTCGTCGAACGATATTGGCAGGTGTAAATTACTTAGTGTCGCTCAACTACGCTACATGTAAGGCATTACAACGGAATCAAAGTTTAGGTTGGCAAGAGGTCACAACTTAACAAAAATGTAACAAGTCAAAAGAGCCCAAAAATCACAAGGCGAAAAAACGCGCGAAGATTCTTGGAAGATCTAACCATTGGAGCTTATCTGAACGATTCAGTCGGTAATTGATATTCTCCTCTCCGAAACGGCCCTTAATTTCTGCACAAATAATTCAGGTATATAAAAACTGGCTTCGTTAGCATTTTTTATCAATTTTTAAGTCTTAAAATCTGAACAGCTTATGATACATACCATGAAACCCTGGTAGAATCGCGGGAAAATTGGCAATAACGTAGACTATCGATCGTGAGCAAAAAAAGAAGCTTTGAGTCCCGTTGCCGCCTCGCCTAGTACGAAGACGCTGGGCAATATTTGACCTTTGCTGAAATTATAAGAACAACGCACCTCTTTCACCACAATGAGTTTGCCGTTTTGATCTAGAAAGAACTGACACCGGGTTGGCGGATGAACGCATACTCGTTTGTATATCATTTTTTTTATGTTCTAGAAAAAAAATGATGTAGACATGTGGAAATTCTATATGGAATCATACATCTAGCAAAGGATCCCTTGGGTTTTGTTGAGGCGTTGATGAAACTTTCCGTTTAGGTTTGCCATGAATGAGGCTGGACTTCAGTAATACAGCATCTAGTTTTCTATTTCAAGTTTTAATGTTCGTGGGCTCGTTGACGCAAGCATTTGACTCCCAAAAACTCCCATAAAAAAGTTCAGAGCCGTCCAATCTAACTCAGATCTAGGGTAACCATTTTCGTCGCCTAAACGAAAGATTACACGACCAGAGACGGATTCATGCACTGATAACATTGTTTTATTGGGAGATGTCACAAGAGAAGCTATCTTGTTGACACCATAAATTCCTCGAAATGTACACGAGTATGTATCGATATTTCTCACCATTAGTTGTTTATGCACAGCACCATAATTCTCTCACTTTAGAACTTTTGTTGTTTTCGGACAAAAATATGTGACCTTTGTTTCCCTACATTGACAATAAATGAACATCGCTAAACAAGTTTCGTATAAACCGAAACAGATAATAATCCGACACTGCAAGACTTGGACTATACTGCAAATGCATCAAAATTTCCCTTCTAAACTCTTAGCTTTTCCGGGTAGTAAAATATGTATGTAGTCTGGCACTGTCATAGTGGAAAACGACGCCTTTTCTGTTCATTTGTTTTAGTCAGTTTCGTTCAATGGTTTGTTGTAATCTTGTCAGTTATTGTCAGTAGAAATCCGAATCAATTATTTTGCTAGGCAGCAGTTATTCACTAATTGGTAATTGTCGAGCACTACGCGAAGCATCTCTCACATTAGAATTTCTTAAACGACAGAACCATCTTTAGGTCGTTTCTTCCGATAACGCTCCTTGACAATGAACGCCGTACTTTCTTTATGCACCTGCACAAATTTTTTTCAGAAATTTTGCGTATCTTCAAGCCGCTTTATTTTAAAATCTGAGTAAAGATGTTCTTTCAGCACAGCCACTACTCGTGCCAAATATCAGCTTTCATATGAGAGCAACGCTGATGTGACGTATCTAAGATATGTGACTTAAAATCCATCTAGCTAGAAAAACAGTCAATACTTTTCCGACAGTTTCGTGTAGTATATATGCTAATTAATCGAACTAAATCTGTATTATCTTTGCGTTTCTATAAACAGGTTAGTGAACTGCGCGCGGCAGAAGAGATCAAAAAGGAATTTGCCGTTTCCGATCGCCGTTGGATGTGGCTTCGCGCAAAAGTTTTGGCCAAGTAAGTAGAAATATCTGACCCATCTGGCCCATGAAACCGCTATGGTAAGCATGGGTTATCGTAGCTAAGCATTCGTAAGTCTTAGTAATGTAACTGTGTTCGACTCGTAGGCAAGGACAGTGGGATGAACTCGAAAAGCTGTCAAAGCAGAAGCGAGTCCCGCTTATCGGATTTCAAGGATTCGCTGAATTGTGTTTAACTTACCAAAACAAGATGGAAGCTCTGAAGTACATCCTCAAGCTGAAGGAGGACCCGAAAGTAAACTATGTACTCCGGTGAGGGCCATATCTTATATTGCGACTAACAAAATTATTTGACGTTAAGGAAAGGCAACCTTGTTGTTGCCATATTACTCGCACCCATAATTCACAAAAGTTATTTTTAACGTTTTCGTTCATACAGGTATACCGATGGGGATATCAAAAAAGCCGCAGCTCTCGCCCACGAACAGAAAGACGTGGAATGCCTGCAACTACTTCGAGAGAAAGCTATCGAGAAGGCGAAAACTGCTTACCTTGCTAACGAGATTGATGAATATATTCTACGATTAAAAAACAAGAAATGAACTAGGCCTAGTTTTACGAATGAAATTATCAGCATATATGTATCACTTTAAACAACATAGGGTTGGCCCGGAACAGAGATTGTACATAGTGCTATTTGCCACTGTTGAAGTTGTCCAGTTATTTTTTATCCAGATCTAGTCCTTTGCTACTTATTATATGATAGTAAATAAGTATAGCAAGCAAACAAGGAACGCATATGTCAATATGACATATATTAAAATGATCAACTGTATTTTAGCGCAATGAATTTCCAAATATAAATAGATTGTTATAAGCAAATCTGGCGAACTTTGGAAATTGACAGTTTTATTATTTAAACAACAACGTTTTCTGACATTTGAAGAAACATTGCGTTACATTTATTAAAGTAACAGGAGATAGGTAAATTATTGCGGCAAAAAAGCAAATTCAACTGCATTATACGTTTGTCACCCTAATGCCATTTTCCTCCTCCCCAGCAAAAAGCAGATTCAACTGCGTTATACGTTAGAAACAGAGTAACCTTAATGCAGTTTTCATATTCCTATACTACTATGTAATAGGCACAATACAGGGTATTCTGACCTTAGTTAATAATACCATTTGTTTGGCATGTGTTTAGCATATGAACAGAGTATTATGGGAATATTTAGAAGGTGTTTCATCTGTTACAAATGTTTTGTTCATCAAATTTGCTCTTTACTGTAATAACTTGCGTATCTCGTTCTGCTTGAATTGATGTAAACTGAAGAATCTCTAACTGTTAAGAGACTTGCCTCGGCGTTGTGTATACATAACTTAAAATCAAAATATTTAGCTTGTCGTCTAGCAACGAACAACGGGTGGACGTGCGCATTAGTATGCGTTCTAAGAGGGTGTACCAGGGGACGAAGCGAGACTGTATTGTCTTTACTTCTAATATTTACAGCAACAAACGCGAACCTTTTGGGACATCAGGTGCCATTCTTCTGTACGGTTATTCTCTTGGTTGAAGACCGAACTGTTTGATTCCTAACACTTGTTACTTCAAAAATGATTTCAACCGGGCACATTTGATAATTTTCTCGCGTTGTAGCAGCAGCTCAGGCCTAGAAGAATCGATTTATTGGTTTGCTCGTTTGACCGAAGTCAATGTTGGAGGGCGCAACGTTAGATGACAAAAATAACGTCTGCTAACACTTCAGCAAGGTTTTACTTCTACTTGTAGAAATAAAACGTTTATGGGATCCATACGACTAAAGAACGATATGCCACAATAAAAGCTACTCAAACGCTGTCACCTTATGGTGGAATCATCTAACGATGCTACCACGCTTCCAAAAGTGCTTTTCAAGCTACTATGGCGGGTTAAAACTTCACTTCGATACGGTGCTATGCACTACACTTAAGTACTGCAATTAAGCCATCGAAGTGCCCGTCCAACCGATTGTAACGTGTTTCTTCCAAAAACTGTTCAGTTGTTAAATAGGTAAGTAAACATTAATAATGTCATGTAACGTATGATAGTTTTGATTATGGAAAATGACCGATTTTACGAAGCGTTTGCGTCGAAAAGATTTTGTTGAACGGGACGTGGCTTAGCATATGTATGTCTTAGAAATTTTCATAGTCTAGCGAGTTCAGACTTCTTTTTTGTGACATCAAATCTGACATATTAATTTATAAATTTTGCCTGCTCTTCTAAATTTTAGTCAGCGGTGTTTATTGTTGTTCTACAAGAGCGACAAAGTTGCAAATGGAGAAGTAACCTCAATTATCCAACAGCGTTTGCCTCTTTTGTAGCGAAGTTTAATAACATTGTTGCTCGCGTTTCGGGCCCAGCGGTAGCTGCCATTTCTTCGATACCGATCAGATGGTCCTTAGTAGCAATCGTAGGTGGACTAACAGAGGGTGTCGTACCGTCAACTTCCCATAAATCAGACAAAGTTCCATTGACATTGTCGGAGACCCCTGTGAGTAGCCAATCCTTCGGAACTGTTTTATCTTGTGACATCCGTTTAATGAATTTCTCAAAGTTAACATACGCTTTGATCGGTTCTTTTGGACGTGTTGCTAAGGATGAGCTGTTATAAAAATGTAAAAAAGTTAATGTTAAATTTTTGCATATTGCCCAGTAAACAGACCAATTTATTTAGTAAATGGCCTAACCCTTCACTCTATATATATATATATATATATATATATATATAGGCTCTTTTTTGAGTTGTTTTAAATCTACGTGCGAAAATTTTGTGGCACGTGCTGAAGTGCCGATCTGGTCGATAATTCAAGTGATCATAATATCAATTTAGCGTCTTGAACTAATGATTATATATATATATATGTATATATATCTCCATCTTAATCTGCAAATAGGTTTTAACTGTAACCATGCGTCAAGCGATGTGTGACTCAAGTAAGCTTTGTGCAAAAAATTCCACCGAAACGCGGGTTTGCGCTGGTAGCAAACCTGAACTGCTGAAAATGCAACTGGTCAAGATGGTCAAGAGGTGTAACATAGCAGGAAAAATCTTAAATTATTTTATTAGCATTTGATACTCTGATTTCTAAAACAGCCGTTCATTTCTACATACAATATCAAATGACTTCTTGGGCTATTTTGACGAGTTTTCGAGCACTCCAAAGTTTAAGTCCATAAATTCTTTGTTTTACCTCTTGTGTTTGTAAGATTTTTGAGGACGGCATTGAACTGGCAGTAACGTATATCATCAATTTTGGAAAAAGGAGATTTTTAATGAGATTTATTCCGCGTGAACACATTGCATGACAGTTAATCTTTAATCTAAATCCGAAAACGACACACTATTTTACTATAGGTTTGTTGTTTTAGTCTAAAGAGAGCTTGTTTTCTTCTGGTTCAAAAAACAACAAATGAGTGCATATCCGCTACGACAAGCAACTACCCAAGGTCTATCCGAATTCGGATGCGTGACCCCGTATACATAATCATTTATATATGGCCATTCAACATATAAATATGTATACGATATATGCGTAATAGACTACAGTAATAGCGTCTTTTAATTCAAATCGTATTTTCGTAATTTTCGTAACTTGTAGAGCCAGTACTTAACACTAATATGGCATCGATATTCCTTACCTTGTATCGTACACGGATGAGAGAGTAGAAGATATGGTAGACGGAAAAACAGGTATAAATTGTTGTTGAAACGTTGCGAGCGGGTGCTCTTTACGTTGAAGAAGAATCTCATCAAAAATGCGCAGAATAAGTGTCATATCTGGCCGGTAGCTTTGCGTTAGAATCCGCTTAGAGAAAGCACGAAAATGCATTCTTGCTAATTCTTCAATAACGTTTTCTGCCACTCCGTTTAGCACTGGGCTATCCGTCAGCGTTGAATTAATAGACTGACTAGGATTAAGGGACGGCTTTTCCCGACACTTTGAGATTTCCTCAAGAATTTGGCTGCATAGTATGGTGGCCAGCTAAAGAATTATTTAAAGCATACGTGCCTAGTTAGCATAACAATAACGACGATAATGCATTTAGCTGTAATAGCCCACGAGGATTGCATACAGTTTAATAGGCATATAGGATAACCCAAAGTAACTATGTGATCAAATACTGGAAAACGAAAACAGCCGTGTGCAGAAAAAGGTTTTATCTCACAAATGTTTTGTCAAGATTGTTTGTCATTTGGCATTTAACAAACCGATTCTGTATAAAAGAACGATGAAATTGATGACATTCTTGTCAAGAAATAAGTCGCGTCATCAATTATTTTTTTTATTAGGAACTGTCTATTTATTGTTCCAGTTATGCCCGCCACCAATGTTATATCGCTAATGCTTCTACAACAGGCGTTTAAATCATGTACTGTATAGTGCCAGATCTGTTTTTATGGCTTTGATCTATAAAACCATACGGTTAGATACTCACCTCGCACATTTCATGGGCGGAAGGGTTGAGATGCCCCAGAACCTCAAAAACCCCGGGCGAGGCAAGAACCAGAAATTTCCATGTCGGACTTACTTCGATTACTATTTCCTCGGGCTCTACTCGAAGCGAAGTATGCCTTTAGTGCATAGGAAGTGATAATACAAAAAAAAACAACAGAACACCGACCTGTATAGGTCAGTGAATTATACTGGTATTTCACTACTCAATAAAAGTTGCGGGACGTGAACCTGACATAGAGCAATAAAACCCACTGAAAGTAATGCACAATAATTAACATCTCATCAAAAGAACAAATATTTTACCCTTTAAGGTTAGGATGACCGAGGAAACGAGTTTGGTGCACCCCAGCAATGTCGAGATCTATAAGAGTCTGCTCGCCTAAACGGAGCCTTTCATCGTCGTTGTCTCGATTGTGAGCGCACGTCAATACCGAAACATTCCATTGCTCGTCGCTGCCTAAAAACGTTGAGGAAGATCGGCAAAGAAAATAAGTTTATTGTACTTGGTAAGATCATAGCTAATTCGTGAGTAATGAACGTACCGGTTAACCTTAGGATATCCGAACTCAGTAACTAGAATTCGGCTGAATCTAATTATCCAATATTTCTCTTGATTTTACATGATTTCGGTTAAAACTACTTCTAAAACAAACTAACATTTAATAGGAACATTAGCAATACCTCACAAATAGCTCTATCTATATCTAACCATATCTAAACACTATTAAGCTTATGCACGCGACATAGTAAGGTATTTTTATTAAGTCCGGTAGCATTAGTTGCACAATATCCATCAATTACAAACGCAGAAAAACCCATCGGCTAGACGAGAGCGTAACTAATTATTTGTACTCATTAAGCAAAGAAGGGTGTCGATGCAGGTAATTTAGTTGAGGAGGTCAATGACCACTTGGTTTTGGCTCAGTGATTCCTGGCCTTTTCTCTGCCATAAGATCTGCTATGTAATCTACATACACTCTTTGTGTGAGAGAAAAAAACCATCGAGGCAACTCCAATTCACTTACGTTGTTGGTCGCCTTTTCCATGGACAAGAACTGCAACGCATTCACCGGCGTACGAAAGGTACAGGGTATTATCAACTAGTACGCAAATTTCTCCAGAGGCAATAGAGTTCACCTCGCGAGAGATATTTCTTGCTCGGTCCGAGTCAGGCAAGGATGACAGCGGAGCACCCTGTTGCAACTAAATCGTAGTCATACAGTCATATACAGCAGGGCATCAGAGCATACAATTTAGGTCGATATATACACGTAAATATGTATATAAATGGTGCACTATTATTTAAAATAAAAGGATTTCTTCGTTTTGCAAAATAACTTATGATAAAGAGACCGCGACGACATAATGAAAAAAAATCCGATTAGATGGTACAAGAACTACTAATGACGCACGGACTTCAAAAATACAGCAGAACTGACTTGAAGAACAACGAAACTTTAACTCACTAAGTTTTCCGAGTCAATCTCGATTCGAACGAGGTCAACCATGAGGTCATTGAGGGTAGACAAATACTGTTTGTCAACAAATAGCCATGCTTCGCGCAGAGTCCGTAAAATGCGTTCGCGCGACTGCCCGGGTTCTATTTGACCAAAAATTAGCTCTGCAGGGAACGCAGAGGAGGCAAATCTGGCACAGCGCGCAGAACCTGTGCCCGAAAATAAGCCGTACACGAAGATATCGCCTTGCCTACGTTAAAATAGAATACATGTCCACGTTTGAGTATGCTAAGTAAGGTTGTTGACATGATGATTACGACAGATTAATGTATACCAACATAAAAATCATGCCATCACCTGCATCTATAGATTTCGTTTTAAGAGACTTCTATTACAACAGTGCTGAACTGATTTATCATTTACGCTATGGACAGTATTTTATGAAATGTTATTCAAAACAATGTTGTAGGAATATATACCAATAAGTGTACATTATAATGAAAAAAATTAGACGAATACTTTTCAGAGCACAACCCCTAATATGCACAATTTTTTGTGGCCGAAGACTTTTCACATCCTTTGTTCACACAAAATCGTAAATGGTCAGGAGATTAATAGGGTAGTTTTACCTTGGTAGCTTCGCATAATATATATAACAGCTATTGCTCAGCTCTTTTTCGTTTACCTCTGCCTATATGTTTGAGAGAGAAGAGAGTGGAGCAGAACTAATGTATTGTGGAAGATAAACGTATTTCATCAGAAATCTTTCATCAGGAACATAGCTTTTCAGGTCTATTTAAAATTATTTACCGGAAATTGAAGCCATTTTCGTATAATGGGTGCACATCGCTCTTTGATCCGTTGTTGTGGTAGAGCTGATTAATATTTGTGGCAACCCGAGAGAACGGACACAACGGTATGTCCCGTGTCCAGTCATCAGCATTGCTCGCAGTAGTGGGCAACGGATTGATATTATGATTTTGCGGGTGAGTCGGCATAGCTGCCTAGCTACCGATTGGTCAGCAAACAGTAATCTAAAATTAAAAAAATGCATTGCACAAAACACAAATTTCAGCAGTTAATTTACCTCATGTATTAGTATTAGATTGTTTTCAAAGTTTTTTTTATAGCGCATGTCTGACTTTTGCCTTAATTAAGGAAAACTATACCACCGCGTGGAATGGGTTTTCAACAAAAGATATTTGTTATAATGGATTGCAACATATTTTTAGATAAGGCTTCAATAAACAGCCACGTTTATCAGCAAATTATAGATTTTAAAAAACAAAAACAAAAATTTCTTCCGCCTTAGCTGCACGAAGAGCTTCAAGGTTACACGTAGGCAAACTCAACCACAAACTATTACTATATGGGATAAAACGTTCACATTTGAATTGTGGCTGTTTTCGTACAGGTCACAAACAAATTTTTTTCACTGGTTTCCTAAGTACCATAGATGTGAATTGATAGATTTTTAAAATTTAATAAAATATTACGCAAGCAGGCCAACCGTACTTGTATAAAGCATGATTGAATTTACCAATTTGTTGGTGTTAACTTCCATAGAAAGTGTCATTTTGATTATGACGCAACGATAATACACTGTTAACAACAATATTACCTAGACCTCATTTGGCACGGACAAGTATCCAACGCAAGATACAAACAACACAACTATATTAAATCTTCGCTTAAATATTTTATTCGTACATGCATAGGCCCCAATTTGCAGGGATTAACGAATATATATATATATATATATATATATCCAGTTCGCACATGATAAAAGAATTTGCATAGGCTTATATGTATGTCACTGGCAATAGGTAGATTTGTTCTGGATCTACAAAAAATATAAGTAAGAATTTTCACCCAAATTTAACAGAAGAACGAACCGGCCGTCACCTCGATTCTTGTTTATTCCTTATTGTCATCACCATTATTAACAAGCCCGGAAAAGAAATTGTTTTTTTTTGTGTTCATCACCATCTTCATATCTTGCCAACGACCTTTTTTTAAGTCTAATTTGGACTCGATACCTTCAGTACTCCAAAAGCGAACCTTCTGATCGACGCTGACGCTTGCAGCTATCTTTCTCTCCCGATCCAGATCGAGCGAGACAATAGGAAAGTCACAATGTTTACCTAAAATTCCAAGTGGTTTATTTGGAAAAAATGACGCTGCACGAACATTGCCATCTCCACATCCATAGATCACAATGCTCTCGTTAAGTGCCTTCATGCAGTCGACGGAAGCTTTGCTAACGCTTTTCATTGCGTTCACTATATAGCCGAACTCATCCCAGTTGAAAATTTCAAAGGAGCCCTCACTGCCGCCGCAAACAACCTTTTTACCTTTGATTAAGGCTAAGGATAGAAATTCTTCCTCAAAGACTTCCGACTGCATGATCATCTTCTTCCGACGGACATCAAGAGCGGTTAAAGTGCCCTCGGCTGATGCTGCTAGAAGAACTTTTTTGTGCTGGGGCTCGATCAACAGGTCTGCGATATAGTCTTCGCACTGCTTGTACGTTTGGACGGCTTGTTGTTTTGGTGTGCGATGATCCCAGACGCACACGGCTCCATCTTCTTCGCCCGTCGCACATAACCACTCATCAATCAGGGCCATAGCGAAAAGGGCGCTTTTGTGCGCCTTTTGCATGTCGACAACGATTCGCATTGTCTCAACGTCGATCATCTTCCATGACTTGTCCTTAGAAATTGAAAAAAGCGTCTTACCATCTTGCGTAAATTCAAGGCCACGGCAGGCCTTTGGATGTGTTTTACTGCGTCTAACTTCCTCATTCTTCTCCAACGAATATTTCCATACCGCCAGTTCTCCATCAATAGTACCCGTCGCCACAAGGTCATTCGCAGGGTGAAATTTTACAGCAGTGAGATCCACATCCACGCTGATCGTTGGTGGCACATCGTGGTCATCGTCGAATTGCTCTTCTTGAACTCTTTCCGAAGGCCCGGCCTCAACTTCGCCAACATCGTCGTCTGAGTCAACTTCATCATCGCCCAATTCTTCATCCTCTAGATATCCCTCATTATCATGTAATAAACCACGTCTATTGTCATCCTCATTCTCCTGATCCGATAAATTATGCTGAGACATCTCGTCATCAGACGAAGCAGCCGAATTCGAATCAATATCAGTCATTACGCCCGCTGGATCTGCAGTAAGTTGCATCAAGATAATTAGTTATTATTATTAAATGGCGTGGAATAACCGTAATTTGACTCATGTGTACATCACCATTTAATGATACCCTAATAGATAATTTAGTCGTCACATCCGCGAACATTGGGAAAACGTGCGTTGCACATAACATTGATAGAAAAAATTCGCAGTCTATTATCTATTTATGTGCTACAATTCAGGCATAAGCCCTTATACGACACAAAGCTACATAGTTAATAGCGTTTGTATGACGAAATTAAATTCAGCACAAATATCCCGTTTATCAATAGTCAGATGGTCTAAAGGCATGCACTACATATAGTCAATAAAGATACTTATTACTTTAACTTAATTGGATACAAATAACTGAAGCGGTGGGGAACTGTATCTCTTCAGTGTAACAGTTGTGGCACATAAGAGAAGTTTAAACAAAGGGCTTCTATAGTATACTAATAAATAATTCATAATTCATGTAGTAGCCTACCTTCGATTACTAAAAAGTGATATGATTTGCCACCAAAAACTAATCAAAAATTGTTTTTCATACGAACCATTGTGTAAACTCGCCAACGTGCGTTTGTTGACAAACAAACTACCATCACTAGCAGACGACCTGCCGCTTCAAGATTTTTGGGTGTTAATAAACGTAGCGAAAGGTTTCTTGGAATATCATTGGGCTATCTGGCTTTGCTTGTAACACGTCTTCGACTTCTCAATGATAGCATTTCTAAATACACGTCAGACAAAATCGTGTGAAAAGTTATTCTGTCCTATAGTTATGCTAGATAACAATAAAATACGGATCGGTTGACTAGCCTATTCGTTGTGCTCAGCAGTTCAACTTACGAATATTGCTCTCTAATTCGAGCTGCGTCAAGAATCGAGTCGCTTTCTTTAGTTTGAGCTATTAGTTGACAGAGTTGGAGAGACAAGATGATAAGCGGACATTAATCTCACATTATGTCGACACTTAATCACTCAAAACGTTGATGACACCTCAGAGGGAAGTTTACTGAGGTCCACTCCGCTTACTTTTTGGAGGTCTTCGGTAGTGAAACAAAGGATGGCGGACAAATGTACACATTTGAACGTAAACACCGATTCGCCAACTGAGACAGTAAGGGCTTGGAAACAGAATGCCTACAGGCACATTTATATCAGAATCGTAGGTGCGTAACCCCACTAAGTATTTCCGTTTATAGCTCTTTTTTTTTACACATCGAGCAATAATGTACGCAATAATGCGTGGTAGCTATAGACCATTTCATCATTTCGAAGCACCGCTTCAGCTAGTTCAAGAGAAGGCTGCGAGATAACAGCTGACTGCTTTGTCGACGTGACCACATTTGCTAGCAAAAGACAACTTGCTAATCGTTCGCGCATGGGATTTGCCTGAGTCAAACCGTTCAATTGTCTTTCTTAGTTTTGCTTTTTAAGAAAGCGGAGATGATCTATCGGAGTGTGTTACAAAAGGCCTTTCGGCGTTGTGCAAAAACCGCAGTACACAAGGTTTGTGATTTTGCTTTGTGATTAAGGACTGGGAGAGAAGGCCGGTATAGCGATGATTCAATGGGGCGATACAAAACTTTCCGGGGTAGCAGCTACATTCCCCCACAAATGGTGGAATATTTCATTAGACGTTTACCCATTATTTTTATTATTGTTATTATTATTTCAGAGCTATAATGAATTTAGTGCTTAGTTGGGCATCTCCTAGAGGAGCAAGCAAATTAAATAAAATTGGGTGTTTGACTATAATTGAGAAATACATAATAATAAACGTATTTGCTGGAAACGTGAAATAGCGACCGACTTTGTACGGGTATGTTGTGGATCAAAATTTTCTTTAGTTTGGTCACTCGTATTTTCATATGATAGTCGTTTATAATAATTAGTTGATTAATAAAATGGGAATTTATTTTTGTAATAATGACCAACATGGCATTTAACCTCATTCAGTTTTAGGAAATATTTACATGTTAGTTAAAACTAAGGGTGCGTACCTATTAGTCTCATTCAAAGTAAACGTCACTGAACTAATAATGATAACCGTCCTATGCGAGCTGCACGGATAGCTCTCCATGCTCTGGTAACTAAAAATATCCACTAATCACATACATAGTATTAGTATTAAACCATAAATGTTGTTGGGCATATAAAAATAACCTCTCCTAATGATATCAAAACAGACAAATCTTTTATCTTATTATACATATATAGAACTCATATATATGGCCAAACAGGTTGCCAATTTAGGTTAAAGTGTCTAATGAAATGCATTCTTATACCATGTCTAATGAAAAGCATTCTTATAACAATTTATAGATTAATTAACTTTCTGCCGTAATATATGGACAAAATCGTTGGCGTCGTTTAGTCTAAACGGAAGACGAATCGGAAGTTGACCATGTCTGCTTTAGGCTGGACAGAGATTTAAGGTGGATTGAAAGAGTTGTGCAGCTTCCGTTGATATTTTACTCCCAGCTGTAAGCTCTTAACTCTTGGCCGCTATGGCATATTTTTCTTTTTCCTTCAAAATTGCATATGTTCAGTGATATTTATTATAGGACTGAGTTTACGTTATTAGTAAATCGAAATGATCGATGATTTGATTTTAGTTTTCAGCAACTGAGTATGTTAGTTAAAACTTATGTTCGTTAAAAAGGGAAAAGCTTGTATATCTCACTTAGACTAAAGTCGTATACCTTAGAATCTACAGCGGCTGGACCATTCCTCCAATACATTTAGCTTTGTTTATCCTTCTAAACAACTGAAATTTTGCCGAAGTATAAAGAGACTAATCACAAGACGAAGCTCGGGTGAGAGCATATCAGTACGCTGATTTTGTCGACCGAAAGATTAGCTAGTGTAGGAGTTTTCTGTACGCATATCAGTCTCTCATTGCAACTGTAGATATACAAAAATTATACCAAAATAAAGGAAAATGAAATAAACTGTATTAATAAACTTAAGCAATTTATGCAATTCATGTATTTCTTTTCAGCCGCACCTATCCTCGATGGCTCCTTTATCTTCAGCAGTTCCGCCTCCACCTACGAAGGGCGAAATGTTATCGCGACAGAAGGAATTACCTCCCTTGCCGTTGCCTCCATTAAAGGAAACTGTTGACAAGTATCTCCACAGCGTGCAGCCTTACCTTACTCCTGATGAACTGAACGTTACCAAGAAGGTAGGTACTGCCGTGCTTTTGAGATATAAAATTAACGTTTTGTGACACGTTAACTTGACGGTAGCTATTGCAGCAAGCGTCAGCTTCCTCATACAAATGTATGACAGAGTTATTGGATGTTTATGTGTACAACTTGTCAAGCAAATCATGGGATTGTTATTGTATCACAGTTAGCTGACGAATTCGTGGCTCCTGGCGGTGTGGGTGAGACTCTTCACAAACTTCTCGCTAAGCGTGCTGCGAAGGAAGACAATTGGCTCTCCGGGTGGTGGCTCAAAGGCGCCTATCTGGGATATAGGAACCCAGTTGTTGTGTATTCATCGCCAGCTATGGTGATGCCTCGACAGGAATTCCGAAGCCCTAAGGACCAACTTGCATATACTGCATCGCTGATTCAAGCTGTGCTTGATTTTAAGGTATAGTACCAATAGAAGCTGCACATGTGCACCGCCAGTTCAGTATGTGGTGTTTATAGCATATACATACAGAAGACTATTAAAGTGCTAGCTCGAATCTGGCAATTGTACACAATTACAGTAAATGGAATCGGTACAAAGGTTTCTACTAAAGGTCAAGTGAAGCCGGCTCCACTACCTGTTATAGCGCATCAATGCTGCTCTATGCACCCGCAGGGAATAGGCTAGTAAGTGAATAGTGATAGAAGTACCTGGCATTCATTTGTATTTGCTAAAAATAACTTGCTTATTATATTGAAGGCCCATATCGACAATGAAACAATGTCGACAGAAGTGCAAGGAACAGCTCCCTTAGACATGATGCAGTACAAGAACATTTTCGCTAGTTGCAGAGAGCCCCACCTTCCACTTGATAAACTTCACTTGGCCAAAGATAGCCGGCATATCGTAATTGCACATCAAGGAAATTTCTACGAGGTACGGAAATCATAGGTATATTAACCGAGCCAGAAGTAAATTTTATTCATTACATAGAATTATCGTTTGTTTCTCACTGAGCCTTATTCTTTTATGATTTCGAGGATGTGGCCTGCATTACAAATCGGTGCGCGTCTGATTGAATTACACTCAATTTTCATTTCGCATAGGTTACAGTATATAGTAATGGGGAACAGCTCAAGACGGAACAGATCCTTGCCCAGTTACAACAGATCATTGAGGATAGCCACAGACGAGGAAAAGGTCACCAGGTAATGAAAAAAAAAAAGCAACATCATTAGTCTTTTTTATGTAACGATCTACGACAGAACGTTATGCTACAGTGCGCTCCGGACAGACCTTCTCTCTCGTTGTCCGTGTTGGCTCCGTTTCGACAGTATTAGGTCAAGAAAAATATAATTCAGCCTTAAATCAATAAACGCTGGACATATTATATTACACATATATAACAATGTTGAAGTCTTGAAAAACAACTCGCAGCGTTTTCCGTTAGGGAAATTGTTTTGTTTTACAATGTGCACTAACAGTACCTGTTCGGGCGTGATTTTAGGTCGGATTACTGACAACATGGCATCGTGATCTTTGGGCAAATTCCTTTGCAAGGCTGTTTGAGAATCCTACTAATCGCGCAAGCCTAGCCACCCTCAGGTAACGATCGAACGTTATCATTGTAGTAACACAACGAGAATTAGAGCAACGGGTGGGAGTGGCATTAGGTGAAGATCGACCGAAAGAAAAGATTGATTTAAACAACAAGAAAGTCTTTACAAATAGGAATAGTATAAAAAGCTTTTGAGAAAATGCCTATTTCATGCACACACTATGCGAATCACTAACATTGCAGAAATAATAGTTAAATAATTAATATATTTAGTGTTTACATATTATCGTTGCATATTTTATCTTGACAAATTACAGATCACGTTCATTTTGCCAAATGATCTCAAGATAACAAATAATAATAATAATTCTATGCTTTTAATGAAGGATTTTGTATATTTGTTTATATAAGATGCCCCGAACATTCCGTTGTACGTTGAACTAGACACTTGGAAAAACGACCTGTCTGAGGGAGATCATTTTATGCGAAAAAGATACCACCCACATTTTAGACTCTAAAGTAAATTAAATAATTAAAGTAAGATAATCAACGGTATCAAAGTAATGGTTTAAAAACAATCGGCACCGAGAAATAGTGCATCTGATATGGAACCATGTGATGATTGGAGCATGGTAATAAAATATTTGAAGCAACGTTACCAAATTATTTTGATAATTGTGGCGAATCGTTAAGACAGAATAATGCCACAATATAGCAGTGTAATTTAACGGTTTTCATGATGCGCTACGTTTATTTATTTATTAAAAGAAGGAAATGGCATCAAAATAATTTTGAGGGGTTAGAAACAAGGCTAATGATGAATGAATTAACGAGTCGATAGGGGTCCACAAAGAGAAACAGACGGAGGCATGTTTACCATGACGCTGTTTGTTACCACATAGTGTGGATGGCTACTGATGCATATTATAATGTTTAGTTTCTCATTTGTATTCTGTGCATTGGAAGAAAGGTTTGAAAAAGAGATTGTTTAGTTCCGATACGTATGACCAGCGAATCCCATTTTCTCTTGAGTGTAGGGATGCCATCGCGCTTGTGTGTTTGGATGACCCACTAAAAGATGTACATCTTCCGTGGGAGAGCGTAGCTGCCCATCAACTTTTAGATGGAGGTATAGATGGTGTAAACGCTGGAAATCGATGGTGCGATAAAACCATCCAGCTTATTGTCGGTTAGTATCTTATTCCAGACGTAAAAATCGAAGCATCTATAGCTATTTCAGCATAAATCGGTTTGCTCCCTAACGGAACCGCGAATTTGAAAAGATGCAAATGGATATCGTATTTAAAACCCACCTCAGAACTAAGCACATAATTTATGTTATGTATTTGCCTAATTCCTACATATAAGTATCATATTTTCGTCAGTACAAATATGCACCCAGTATAAGTTATCTAACTTTTAATGGACAGAACTGTTTTTTTTAGTTCAAATATATCTTGCTCTTTGGCGAAAAGCTATTTCGAAAACTTACTGTAGAATAATTGTTATTTTACGCGGTAGTTTTGCATCCATTCTGTAACATTATGATATATGGATAATATTCTCCTTAGGAGTGGAAGGCAACGTCGGCATTCTCTACGAGCATTCACCTGCAGAAGGGCCCCCGGTTGCCAATCTTGTCGATTTCTGCGTGAAGCAGGCGTCTATCTGGCCTCTCCCCGCTAAAGATAGTCCGTGCAAACCCAAGCATTTAGAATTTATTATCAACAAAACAGTAAGAACCTTTAATATGTTAATATGTTGAGTGCAACTTTATCTTACGATCTATTGCGCCTAGCGGCAGTTTTGGATATCAACTCAAAAATGCTAGTGACAGAGTTCTTGTTTCGTTTATTTTTATAGCTGTAGATGCATTTTCGACGGAATGACGCTACTCTTACTAAAATCAAAGCAGATGACAAATAAGCACAAAAGATTATATATATATATATATATATATATATTTTAGATCTAATGATATGTTTCCCTATTTATCTAAAGACAGATAAAATAGCAAATTTTGTTTGTGATGAGCTGGATGAATCACACGATTTCTAGCTCATGTTAAAGGAGAAAAATAATGAAAAATAATTCTGTTCAATATGCTGCTCTTACAGATCGAAGATGATATTGAAAAGGCTCGTTCGGACTTGAAGACTCTGACAAATGATCTCGAACTGAATCTTTATTCCTACGAGAAATATGGGAAGGACTTCGTGAAGTCGTGTAATTTAAGTCCCGACAGTTTCATCCAAATGGCTATACAATTAGCATTTTACAGGTAATCGAAATATATGAATAGAAAGAAAGTTTAATCTTTAAAAATATAAATAAATTGATCGCTGCAACGGTTCGATTTTGATCAAAAGGGCACATCAAAAACCAGGAGCCTGTTATGAGACAGCAACCCTCCGAAGATTTCTCGGAGGACGAACAGAAACTATCCGTAGCTGTTCTCAGGAGAGCAGCGACTTCTGCAGTAAATTCCTCGACTTGGAGACCAACGCCAAGGTCAAAGCGGAGAGTTTAAGAAAGGCTGTCACCGCTCATAAAGCTTATACGAATATGGTGCGTAGACGACGGTTTGTTTTACTTTCGTCATGAGCCGACTGAGGTGGTAGGTATCATTAGCCTAGCATCAAATGCTTAATAGTACCGCATGTTTGTGTACATTCTCAGGAAAAAGCAGTTCAACTAAAAATTTAATGTTCGAAGAAGAAGAAGAATACTATAAGTAATTTCTTAGAAGAGATCCACAAAATCGCATGCTGCTGAAAAAAGGAATTTTATAATCGTTTCAACAGGCCATCCGTGGACAGGGTGTAGATCGTCTTTTCTTTGGCATGAAGATGATGGCTGCCGAGGCTAACATACAAATTCCGAGCTTTTTCTTCGACAAGGCCATGGTCGTCTCAACACACTTCCGTCTTTCTACCAGTCAGGTATGTATTTACAGCATCTAAGCGCGTTTAATCCCCTTTGACAAGGGTAAATCAGGGGGAATAAAGGGAAATTGTCATGACCATCTCAGCCTATTGAAGTTTACGACATTCGGTAGATGCTTTTTTTTCTTAGGATACTTCATTTTCTAATTGTTTTGTCATGCCATGCCTGTTTAGGTGCCAGCTAAATCGCGTTCCGTGATGTTCTACGGACCCTTGGTACCCGATGGATACGGTTGCTGTTATAATCCCATGAATAATAGAATCCTTTTCGGTTTGTCAGCGTTCAAAAGCTGTGCCACAACAGATCTATCAAGATTTCGTGATTGCCTTGAGTATAGTCTTAATGTAATGGGCGACTATCTACGAGCCGAAAGTATAACGTCAAAATTATGAGCAAGGTCCAGTTTCTCGCTGAAAGTAAAGCCTCAAACGTACACAGTAGTACAACGAAGATTTACCACTAATATGTGTTAATCTGGCTACAAAACCTGTCATACCTTCACGCTCTGGATGTCTAGCTGCTGACAATAGACAAAGCACAAATGTGGACTCAAAAGCATCTCCATGGGTACTCGCTTGCCGCTAAAAGGTGAAATATAGTAAAAAAATTTTACACCAGACAGCGTTCAGGAAAGTAAGTAACAAGATGAATCCATTGATTCTAATGTCAAAAACTCACCTGAAATCTGTGTGTTAAACAAGACTGGTTGGTGTGCCAAACAAGCGTGCTACATTGAAGTCGCGCGTGCAGTTTTTTTTCCAGATATTTTCGAAGTAAAGCGTTTTACAACCGTGTGTTACAACCGTGTGTTTAACTATTTACTGCTGAATTTGTAATAAAAAAATCCTTACATTTCTTGTGGTCGTAAAAATTATACAGCGGTATCTTTTATTCATGTAATATTCCAATATGTACAACGCAAAGTACCTACCTATAAAAGGAATACTCTACTGGAGATCGGATAGTATTGTTTCACTTATTTGTGGGAGTTGGGGGGCTTTTATAGACTGAGGAGTAGTACTCCTCCTCGAGTTCATACAATTCGGCAGCCATATCGTCTCTTAAGGCCATCAGGCGTTGATCACACTCATGCTGAACGTTGCAGAACCTAAAAGTAGGGACAAAAATCAGTACAGTGAACGAGTTAGTTCATGCGACCCCCACCCGCGTTTACATCAAATTGTAATTATGTTTTTTCTTTATAATTTCTCATAGTACTTCATAATTAATACGTGCACAATTTCCGTTTGACTTAACCATGTTGCATCATAGTAAATCTCGGAGATAAGTTTTCAGATCGTTTTACACAACGTTAGATTCATATGGTTATAGGCTTCTAAAGTCATTTTCATAGCTGCTTCAGATACAGTACCTCTGCCCCGACGCTTGGATAGCATCGTTGATGAAGGGAAAATCATTAAGGATCAAATACTGCTTAATATCAGCGATCAATCTGACGAGTTTTTCCCCAGCGCGGACCATATTGGCTGCCCGCACACTCATCTCGTATTGATCTTCGGTACATTGAAGTTGTCTCAGAACCTGTAACGTTCGCTACCTCATGTTAGGATCGAATGAGCTACATGTGAGAGAAATTGTCGTTTGCTCTTCTGGTGTTTTTAGATTTCCACTTCCAGAGCCATCAGCCTGATAGATGTAAAAGACGCATGTGGTTTGGATTGTATGATCTCCATTCCATGCAATCATGCTCTAGCTAGTTGATAATATGTAGCTTATAGACCCCTCTTGACCTTTCCAAAACCTAAGTTTTTTATCTATCTGTAAAACCGTAGATAGATGTACAACTCTTATCTAAATCGTTTTGTTTGCGCGAAGTCCTACAAAAATCAAACAGATTACTTCACATTGTACCAGTTCCCAAGGTACAAGCACCTAATTGTGATTAATTGTGTGCTTCTAGTTACGAATTTATTTCTGCATTATCCAACGTCATTATCTATTATTTATCAATCATAACTTCTATGAAGTTTCACTGTGTTTTTTTAGCAAAACATTTTTCTGATGATTTCCTGGACATTGTTTTTGTTACCTGCCCTTCTTCGTCAGCAGTAGGAACTTTACTGCTTTTCAGGATTTCCTGGAAATTGTCGATCATCGCTCGGATATCATCTTTAAGGCGTTTTTGGTAGCTTTTTAGAAGGGCCTCTTTATCCCGTGAGCCACCTGCACCGACGGTTCCGGTTTTCGCTTGTGACATACTGATACGCGGATGATGATGGCCGAGTCCTGTTTGTCCTTACTGTCGGCTGAAAGTAAACTTCAACAATCAAAAACCTTATACCCAAATTGAGGTGTATACTCATGTATCTACTATTGCCAGAGTTGAAAAAATTCAGGACCAGTAATATCAGAAGGTCGTTAAATGAGCCAAGCAAAACCTTCTTAGTATAGCTCCGGTTACCTCTACACTATGTATTATAGTGTATTCTTTATTGCTATTGAAGTAACACAAACGCTATCTCAACATTCTGCTACCAATGAAGACAAATAAAGCTTTATCCAAGCAAACTCAATTTATTATTATTCACTAACAAAATTCAATGTACAAAAACTAAATAGGTCTTGTTATTTTTCATCTGGTCATAATTATTATTCGATTGTTAATAATATTTACAATGGTTGTCATAATCATCATTGTTTCGGCTGTATGTATCACAAAGAGTGGAAGTAGTCGCTATACGAATATATATGTGTCTGTATGTGTATATACCTCCATATATGCTTGTAAACGTGTTCGACAATTGGCCAGTTCCAGAATAACTGTGTCTCACAATCAGACTTCTCACGCACAAAAAGCAAGTCCTAGAAGATACATTCATGACACCTAACATTACTATTTGACGCCATTACAATTTTTGTACAAAATGATAGCATACATATATATATATTAGTTGTCAAATTTTTGTTAGGTTACCGTTTGTAACACAGAATCTGTTGTACTATGTTCTATTCTAACAGATTCAGTTTATGGTTTTGTCCTTCTCTGATTTTGACAAATTAATGATATCAATGAAAGTGTTTTCGTTACTTGCCGTCGACATATTGTGAATAGCAAGCGACTGCCAATCACGACGTAAAATGATTTCTTAAGATTCAATGAATCAATAATTTCAAACCAATGATACCCTAGCTTTATAGTATTCATCTTATATGGCAAGTAATGAATTAAATGTGACTTGCAGGGAGTCCATTGTGTTTTTTAGAGCAACTGGGGCAGCTAAACTTCGAAGTGAAACAATATAACTGACCCCACACACAAATTCGGGTTCAAAATTTATCTGCTGGCGTTTTTTTGTGCGGCTTATCTCTTTTGATTTTTAATGACTTGCTTTCAAAACTCATCACTCCAGACCCCGTCGACGTCGCTGTCTTCGTTGTTAACTTCCGATTCCCGATCATCTTCCATTTCCATCTCGTAGCTCTGTTCTCCTCCGACCGACTGCTCAACCATCTGAATGCCTTTTTTCACCTGCGGGTTATTGGGATCGAGATTGAGGGCGACACCAAAATGGAACAGAGCTTGCTCTGGTTCATGTACTTTGTGTAGAAACTCACCTAAGAGTCTGTGCAATTTTGGTGTACTACCAACTAACTGCAGCTTTTCCTGCAAAAGCTGTACACCCGCTTCGTAGTTCCTGGTCGACTCGTAAATTTCGGCTAGCGAATAGATTGCCGGCAAATAGGCAGGTCCGTGAACGAGGGCTCGTTCTAGGTATGTTTTGGCTTTGTCCTGTTGGCCAGGGTTCTTGATGAGTACATCCGCTCGAAGTGTGAGGGTTCGAGCTGTTTGCCCCAATTGACGGGTGGCATTCGTCGCGGCAATATGTGCGTCAGGCAAACGGTTTTCTGCTAGATACAGCGATACCTGTCCCATATAGGGTTCAAACCGGTACGGGGCGATTGTCTGCGCTTCATTATATATGCTTACTGCAGTCTGTCGCACCCCATGGGAAGCAAGTATTTGCGCTTTTAATAAAATTGCTTCGACGTGTCTGGGGCTTAGCTCCAACGCCTTGTCGCACATACAACGAGCTCGAGTATACTTCTGTCGTAAGTAGCACTGATAACCAAGTGAGATGTACGTTTCCGGGTGATTTTCACTAAGAGTAGCCAGATGATTGCTAAGCTGTTCAAGTTCTTTGACCTTCTTTTCTTTGTACAGAAGGGCCGCGTAGAGATCCATACCTCGAATTTGGAATTTATCAGCTTTTACAGCACGTTCGAAAGCACTTATAGCTTTGATGTCTTCTCCTTGAAAATAGTTAATTTTAGCTATCATCATGCTGACATCATAACTGCCTTTTAACTGTAACGACTGGTCCAACGTTTCAAATTCGTGCAAGGCTTTTGGCAAATTCCGCGCAAATAATTCACCCATTGCTGCAACGAAGGCGGGCATCCATTCCATTGTAAAATGTACGCCTTTTGAAGTAATCAGTACTGCTACCTCGGACACTTTAACGTTTAACTCCAACAAAGCGTTAATGGCTGCCAATGCATAGGGATTTGTCCTAAGAACTTCTTTGTAACACAATATGGCTGCTCGGTCATTACCCTGTCCGTGATAGAGTTTCGCTAATGTCATATTAACCCGCGTTGAACGTTGTTTTGGCGGAATACCTTCCAGAGTACTTATGGCCAATTTTAACTCTCTCCGACCTATAAGACATTGAAAGATACGAAACTGCACATCTGTCTGGGGCGTGACATCCTGATCTTGTTGTCGTTTGCGTATTGTGGACCTCTTTAACTGCAGGGCCTGTTCGAACATCAATTCAGCTTTGCGATACTGTTTCGAGGCAAGGAGAACGTCGCCATACCATATAAGCGTCTGATATCGTTGTACGGGTGAAAAGATCTCATCGCAGTTTCGGTCTACTGTGGTTAGCAGTGAGGACAGGGCTTCAAAATCATCATATAAACCTTCTTCGTAAAGTTGCCGAAGTATTTCAAATGCCGGCGTCGCCATCGCTAGTTCTTCCAGCCTGCTATTGTACTTATTATCCGCACCCGTATCACCCGCGCCAATACGAGGTTGTCGAGAGTCCGGATGGGCTCTCTTTCGCGGAATCGATTTGATGATAGCGGCCAGCGCTGAATCCTTGACGGTGCTTCGTAAAACTCAGGAAACGCCTGGAAGATGGTGTGGGCTGCTGACGATGACCCCAGCAGTTATCGGGCTCGTCGTGATGGCGGATCGTTGACAATGTTGTTGCTGTTGACGCCGATGATGGGTCCCTCTGATCCTTGTTTGTTGTTCAGGCAGACCGGTGTGCGACGATGCGTTGCAGTGGAGGGCCACAGCGCTGCAAGATGACAAGCGGTGTCCCGACACTCAGATCATCAACGATTTTACTCTTCCTGACAGGTGTCAGGAAAGTTTTAAACCATCGAACCGACCATATTGAACCGTTCTATTATCCATCCGTCATACGTATTGCTTCACGAAACTAACTTTAATTGATAATTTTGCAGTGGATAGATGGGCTACAAATTGTAGCATTTACTAACAATAACAATAATGTATCGTCTATCAGCGATGTGCCAATGCAGCAATAGATGTGTAAGAGTTCACGTGTCCATGGCGTGTACAAATATTCCACAGTCGAGGTATCTCTAGTGGCAAGAATAATGACAAGCTGCAACTGAAACGGTGCTTCGTAATGATATTTTTTGCTCATATTTATAAAATTTACCGAACAAGAGCATACAACTAGAACAGCTGCTAGGAGGTGAGGGGTAAAAGGGCTAAAATTTCATTGCACTTGCCAAATATCAAAAGGTTATATTCATGGCCTACATATGTGTCCCTACCTCCTCACTGAATCTAGCTCAAGAACCGTATACCAAATACACCGTATAAAATATATATACCTGTTCATCTAAAGTTAAGTAATGTCGCCGACTTACCTTGTCTTATAGGCCGTATAGTCCTGCGTGCGATATAAAAACTGTACTCGCGCCCCCAGAGTTCCGTACTCGTGAGGAGTGTTCTTGGCTTCTCAACACAATTGTTATTCTATAGTCGTTAGTTGCGTGATACCTTGGGCTGTGTACAGTGGTGAACAATAGAGAGCGCCCCCCAATTGTTTACGATTTGGCGAGCAGCGCCATTTTCCGGCTGTGTCGAAATACTTTCTGAATAACAACCACACTACAACCGACATACACTGACTTCAATTCCAAACGGGTTATGCAAAGCAGCCGAACATTATTTTTCTGATGCACATGTATAAATACACTGTTTTTTAATAATACGATGAGCACTGTAATTTCTTTTTTGTCAAGAAGAGAAAAGTACTTACTTATAAGTGAACTTTTTATTTTTGGTAAATTCGAAATAAGCGCCAATATGAAACATTTTCTTTTTCGTGATTGGTACTTCATAGATTAAATAATTTGCAAATCAATTCAGCCTGAAACCTATATGCTGCATCAACTATACGGCATATTTGATCTAGCTTCTTTCAACTGAAAGCTGGAAATACCGTCCAGCATAGAGGGCGCTCTGACCGCTCCGCCATCTTGGACAAACAGGGAACGCAAACAGGCCTTTTTTTCTACAACCGCATACTGGTGAGGGTGTGCCTGCGCGTATCCGTGGAAATCGGTAATATTCAGCCACGCCCAGGGTTAAAACATTTTTAGCATGGTACGTTTTGAAGCCTTTGTCTAGACGGTTTACTTTCAAATACTATCTATGAAGTTGCTGAGCTTTATAAATAATAAATAAATTCTTTGTCAAATCGCTCTATTGTTCTCAGCTATACCTCGTGCTTCTACGTTTACATATGATGCACATTGAATCTCTTCACCTGATTGGCCCTTATAAGCAGGGTTTAAACGGATGTGAACTTCACTTCTGATCATTTTCATTTCTCTAAGATGGTCTAGTGAATATTGAGATTGTGGTGCTACTTTGGTGAGACACATGTGCATTTGTTTTGTTCCTACAGCCTCCTGCATCAAAGTCCAAGGGCAAAAAGAAGATTGCCCCCGCTCCTTTGTTAAGCAAGAAGAGTGCGGGAAAGAAGCAGTTAAACCCGTTGGTTGAGAAGCGACCCAAGAATTTTTCTATTGGTGAGTGAAGGCCAATGATGCTCAATACGGTGTGCTGACAGAAATTGTGCCAACTTCATTAAGGACTATGCTGTTAAGAAGACACGTGGTCTTTTTTTGGTACTACCGAGGTTATTAATCTGTCACGTGCATCGTACGTCGATTTGATGGATGTGAGCTAGGTCATGAGGTCTTATTGGGCCGTTCTCCGGTCGGTGACGCGCATCGTCGAGAAAGCGCTAGGCCGAGAGAGCTTCACTCTTAGTGTGATGGATATACCGTGGTCAGCCTTGTGTGGCATGGTGAGATTCGCTGGTTTTTATGACTCCAGCGAAAGGTATTTGTGCGATACGCAAGGAAGTAACAATTTTTTGTGTAACTCAAATTCATGAAAAACAACAGTTTTTTTACCTTTTTAATTCTATGCTGTATTTTTTTCGTGTAGTGTTATTAATGTTACCATCGTCTGATGCATTACAGCTGATTAGCATTTGACAAGTGTGAGCTTTTAGCACATCAACATCTATAGCACAACAATATTCTACAGGGGAACACCATAGCTATTTAAATAACGCGGGTTTAACGCATCATGTGCTTAACAAACCGTATTCAAAGCAGTTGCCTTAGGCGACATAAACGTACAGCTTTGCTCCGGAACATAGGAAAAGATTACAAAATCATAGTATCTCTGCATTTTTATTTCTCCACAATACTAAGCGTACGCAAAATCAGTTACAAATGTTTTTTTCCTTATTTAAGGCCAGGATATCCAACCGCGGCGTGATCTCACCCGTTTCGTACGATGGCCCAAATACATTCGCTTGCAGCGCCAGAAGGCAATCCTGTACCAGCGCATCAAGGTTCCCCCTGCAATTAATCAGTTCACGCAGACCCTTGACAAGCAGACAACTGTCAGTCTTTTGAAATTACTCGAAAAGTACCGGCCAGAAGACAAGAAGGCGAAGAAAGAGCGTCTTCGTGCTCGTGCCGAAGCCAAGGCTGCCGGTAAGGCCGATGAGCCTGGAAAACGTCTTTTGAGCGTTCGCATGGGTGCCAACGCTGTCACCACCCTAGTGGAGCAGAAGAAGGCTCAGCTGGTAGTGATTGCCCACGATGTCGATCCCATTGAACTCGTTTTGTTCATGCCAGCCCTCTGCCGTCGTATGGGTGTTCCGTACTGCATTATTAAAGGCAAGGCACGCCTCGGCACTCTCTGCCGGAGGAAAACCTGCTCTGCTATCGCGTTGACTGGGGTCAATCCCGAAGATAAGGGTGCTCTGTCAAAGGTAGTAGAGTCCATCAAAACCAACTTCAACGATCGCTTTGATGAAATCCGTAAGCACTGGGGTGGCGGTGTTGTCTCAAATAAGTCGCAAGCCCGTGTTGCCAAGCTTGAAAAGGCTAAGGCGAAGGAGCTTCAACAGAAGGCTCAAATTTAAATGGACGTTCATGATCCACAGCAGTACTGATCCGAGTATTTTCCCAAATAAATTCGAGCAAAAAAAGGATAGCTGTTGATTAACTTAAAATTTGTTTTTAGTCATGACGAATTGTTTTAGATAGATAATTGTTATCTTCTCAATTAGCGAATACGTGCTTATTTCATCGCTAGTATATATTAATAGATATCGCAGCTATCAGTAGTTATAGGTATCACATCTGGAAAAAGGAGCTATTTCGGCAGCTTATAAGAGCTCATCCCTTCCATTACGTGTTATGGATGAGAAGCGGCGAGGACTATGGCATTCAGTGTAGTTGATTGTACTAAGTAAAAGCTAAAGGTGAAGCTACAGAACCTCAACTATGCGCTCAGTATCTACCAGGTAATCATAGCGGTACCCAGCAGTGTTGGAATTACAAGGTAGTTGTGCAGATGTAGAAAAATTTATATAACATATATAGAATTATATAACATGATCAAGAATACGCACGGTTGACATTGCAACTAATTTCATATCTAGAAAGTATGAACGAGTGCAGCATGTAAAAGCATTAATGATGCACCTACATGAATGAGTAGGTGCGTAAGTGGAGTAGTTGAGACCCATTTAAATATCATAGATGTAATTACAACTTTAGTTCTTTCCTCTTTGACGTCCTGTTTTTGAGCAACTAGGCATCATTCAGACAGCTCCAGTGTAGCTCGAGTGGTTGAATTACAGATTGGGCATTGATTCGGTACTTATAGCGTCCAACTCGTATGAATGTGTTATTCACCTGAGTAATGAAAGGTATATGACCTGTTGTTCAGGTAAAATACTGGGAGAACCATACAGGCCGACCCATGTTGGTCCGGTATTTCTCTTAAGTTTTAGGTTCGTTAGCCTTACAAAAAAAGTAAGGCTATATATAAACAAAAGCAGATATTTCAACCATGTGATAGAAGTGTTACCCCTGGTGGTCCTGTTTATTTGATATATTGACCAGGGGCCTGCTTCAAATCGGTCTGAAAACCACTGACAGACTCGTTTCAAATGTTCCTTTTGCAAATGCGTACACGTCTTCTTGACGCTGTCATCGCACAAAGTAACTCAACAGATTAATGTCTGGGCTGTTAGGGAATCATACTCTCCGTCCAGAACATGTTCATGTTCTCAAGATGCTAATCTTACCCTAACCGGCTAGTTTGAGTTGAGCACCATTTTTACCGGAAAATATATGGCCTTCTTTAGGTACATTAATGATTCGCGGCGAGACCGCAGCTTGTAGAAAATGTAGATAAATCTTCTTAATAATATGTTGGACTTTCCGGAAGAAATAATATCTCGTGACGTCTTTTCACAAAACACCGTTTTTAGAACCTAAACGTTGCCCAGAAAATTGCCTTAACCCCACAATAGGTACATCCTTTTGGACTATGAGGAAGCCAGCTATTGTTGCCCGATTTGACTTTTGCATCAAGGGTAAGTATTCTCGCGTCAAAGAGGAATCCAATGTGACTGAGTGTGAACCTTAAGAAAATTGAAAATCAAATGGCACCGATCAAATCTTCTGGTTTATTTTGGCTTGGAGAGTATCTGTTTGACTTTTACGAAATGTAGCATGCGCCCGAAGCCTTTTCGACAATCCACACATTGTAGTCGAATTCACATGGGATGTATTTGCAAACAATCTAATCCAAACAAAACATATGTTGGAAATGTACTTTTAGTTGGCACAGATTTTCTCTGGCGTCCGTCGGATTTTTTAGGCTATTGGAGAATTCCTGTTAAGCCGCGTTAAGGCTTATTTTCGCTTCTGCTGCAGCCGTACACTTATAATATCTCAGCACTGTTGTTTTAGGGCAACGCAAAAAGCTGGTTATCTCTGTCACGCTCGAAGAGATCGGATAATAGTTGCTGAAATGTTAATGTCGCAACGCTGTTTTCCGCTATGGCTGTATTATCCATGGAACGAGTTCTCCTCTAGTGGTTCCGGTTTCGGTTGAACAAATTCGTGATTGAAATTGCCCGCAGGTATTTAAGAGATCCCAAATTTTAGTCGGATCACCCATTAGAAAGCTAATAAAAGACCGTCTTCACCATAACACTAATCTTTGGTTGACCACTTTGATTAAGACACAGCGACGACAAAGGTAAAGATGCCGTTCTGCCATACCTGGTCCAGATATCAGAATTTTCAAAAACAACTAGGAGAAGTAGAAGAGCTGTAACAAATTCGATGACAGGGCCTGTTTGGAATAAGGAAGAGTAAAACAATCAAGTACCTGAGTAGTCTACGAAAAAAAAAATAGCAAATTCGTATTAAGAATGAATCCGACTGTGTACCTGACAGATGGCCGCAAACGGGGTAAAAGAAACAAAAAATATGCAACCCAAAAATCATTTAGATGCACTTCAACTAGATAAAGGGATAGTTATAGCAACTGCTATAAATGATTTGCTTAGATCGATAACTACAGGTAAGATCGGACCGAGGCGCCTAATTGGTGCAAAATAAACGACAAATATTCACCGTCACCAATTATATTTTGCTTTGTATCTAATGGAATTAAACACCGCTTTAACGATAGCATGTGCAAGGGGTGTGGTTCCGACGGTATTTCTAAGAAGCAGCTAAAGTCCCTGGACATCAAGAATAGCCAATAAAATGTCACTGTCAGGCGAACTTCGGGTCGCTTCGATTCTAGCTGAAGGGCGGCCGAAAAGGTTTTAGCTCGTATCGAGTAATCCTGAAGTCTTCGCACATCGACAAGTCTTTGGAGCACATGCTAGTGCGAGCCCTAATCGGCGTGACTGAATAAAAGAGCTCATTATTTGATTCGACGTCAATCTGCAGACCGCAACGCTTGCCTTCATGGAATCTACTCCATCTCACTGCGTATATCGAACTAGGACGCATAAACACCCATCACCTGTTCATAGCTCTCTTCGACGTACACGGCGACTATAGAAGCCATAATTACTCCACAATTCGGCAAGCTTTACTGAAATGAAGTGTACATAGAAACTGTTGGTTTGACGAAATACTTATGCTCTATTTATTTTAATGAGATTTCTATGTCAAATATCAAAATTTATTTCTATAATTATTACTGGAAAGATTGAAGTGCCACAAGGAGGCATTCGATCTTCCGTTTTGCTCGTAATCGCACTGGTTACGATAGCTGACATAGGTCAAACAACGTTCGCTATTTTCATAGTACTAAGACGATGAGGTTCTTCAAACTCCTCCAACGGGAAGGTCGACTGGTAGCCTAATAGCTACCTTAGGACTACCTTTGCCCTGCTTATAGTGGTATGCAAAGCCAATGTAATACCGCTAACTTCAGATGCGAGGCAGTGTGTGAACACAAAGTTTAATAGTGCGTTGATAGAGCTGATCAAGTCGATCAGGGCTTTCGAGGTTCACTTACAGGAAGATACAGAATTCACTGAGGAAATACAAATAGGAATCTATATCGAGTAATATGAGGAAAAAATTGACACAAAAGTAAACTGGAGTCTGCTTATCTGGGTCTTGTCGCTTTGCAAGAATGGAGACCGGTTGTAAGCAATTAGCATCTGGGATGTGGTTAATCAAATTACGTAAGGACTCTCGATGCAAAGCCTGTACGATTCATCATGATGCAAATCATGCTTTCGAAAGCTCAAAGAAATTCGAAGGACGAACAGGTGAATATGTACGAGGCGTGTCTGATAAACCAAGCAGAGCAGGCTCGCATGAAAGGTAATCTGGTACGGTCACTTAAATAATATGTTATGTTTATGCAATAGAACTATTGGCAATGTGTTTGAAATATAGAATAATACAAATGTCATCTACTGTTATTATGTCTCATACATGTACAATTAATTTACGAACATGATGCAAGAAGATTTAACCGATGTTACGTATGCTTTTGATTTTTGATTAAAAATCAACACAGTTGACTTTCCTACTAAGCGATAGTTAAAAGAAAAAGCAGCAAATTGTGGGCTGTAAGTTGTAAACCTAATTCACAGAATATCAAAGAAAAGTACATAAAGCGGCTATGAATATTAAAAAAAATTGTTACTATTATCTGACCTGTTCCTTTATTGCTAAACAAATTCGGACACGCGGCCCGATTTGATCCACATAATATTAGAACACTGAGTAAAATATTGTAAAGGGGTCCACCGATATTCGTGCTTTATTATGGCTAATTTGCTAGATGGAACCTTTTCATTTACGCAATTTGTTTGGGAACTGGCATATAGCTTTGTCTTATAATATTGTAAATCGGGATTTGAATTTAAAAGTTTTGGGGACTTCTACAATTTATGACAGCAAGGTATCATAATTTATTTTATATCCATAATAGCGAAAGTAACCATTATTCCTTATTTAATCACACATGTTGTTCAATGTACACTGATAAAGAGGCTTGAAATCTGTACGAGCCTCAAAATTGGATATAAATGCGTTAAATATAGGACGTGAAATATTGTACTACCTCCTATGTATATCGTAGCTTTAAGTATGTAAGAACGACAAAAGAGTTAGACCCTCCATAAATTGTTTTAAAGAGTCAAAGTACTGAAAATCTTAACGATTTTATACAACAAACTGAACGTTTTTTTGATCTCAGGGTTACTGTGAATCCTACATCATTATCTTTACTGACTCAAGCTATTCTAGAAGCGATAACAATAGTAAAGCTAAATAGTGTGATACTATAGTAATAGTAGGATCAAGAATCTTCTGCTGATATAACAAAAAAAAACATTAATTTTATTACATGAGTTAGAGTTTTTGATTTTGCTAAATCAATATGATAGGAACAACGCTGAGACAAGAAGCACCTATTATTACATAGCTATCGTGAACGCACCCTGACGGCGTACTTCGTTCTAAAGCGTTCTTATTCTGAGACTTTATTATTGACTGATCCTTCTCACAACAGAGTCTCTGTCGACAGGTGTGACGTGCACTGAGGTCAGCGACCACTAGGTAGTATCCACAATTGCCTGTGGGGAAAGGCACATAAACTCGAACGACAGACCGGACGACCAATGATGAAAGAATGTACTTTATATGTTGAGACTCGATGAAGCCGGTGATGACA